TTTCGAACTGCTTCCAGTTTCTCCGGGTCTGTCTGAATTCCATCACTGGAGATAACATGGCCGAGATAGTTGACCTTGCTCCTGAATAAACGACACTTTTTCGGGTTCAACTTTAATTTGGCTCCCTCTATTTTGGCGAAAACTCGCTCCAAGTTTCGCAAATGGTCCTCGAAGTCACGGCCGACAATGATGATGTCATCTAGGTAGACTAAGCAAGCCTCTCCAACTAAGCCTGCAAGTACACACTCCATGAGTCGCTCAAATGTGGCAGGCGCGTTGCACAATCCGAAGGGTATGACGTTAAATTGCCATAAACCTTTACCGGTCGAGAAAGCTGTCTTCTCCTTGTCTTTTGGATGAATTTCCACCTGCCAGTATCCAGATTTCAGGTCTAGGGTCGAGAACCATTTCATGCCACTTAAGGTATCCAAAGTTTCGTCGATTCGAGGTAACGGGTAACTGTCCTTCTTAGTGACATCATTGAGACGCCTATAGTCCACACAAAATCTCGTGCTACGATCTTTCTTCTTCACTAACACAACAGGTGAGCACCACGAACTTGTAGACGGTTCAATAATCTTATTTCTTCTCATGTCCTCCAAAAGGCCTTCAACTTCTTTTTCCTTTGCAATTGGTATCCGTCTTGCTCGTTTACGAATTGGTCTTTCGCTTCCGGTATCTATCCTGTGCTGAACCATCGAAGTTCTTCCAAGGTCCCCTTCTTGACTGGATAGATATTCGCGTAGCGCTGTAAAAAACTTCCTAGCTTTAATGCCCTGCGAATAAGTCAGATTACTCTTGCAGTCATCGAGTAGCTCAGTCACTAATCCGTAGTTATTGCTGTTTGCCGAGTCTGCGCCTGTAACCGAACTACACTTTTTCATCCAGACAACTTCCTCGCACTTTCCAATGACGTCACCTTTGTTCAAGCAGACCTCGCGATCACCAAGATTCAAGACCTTGACCACAGCGTTACTGCTTCCACTAACGAGGGTTCTCGCCGTCATCAGTTTTTGCGCTGATGTCTTGGTAGGAGTGCCTTCGATCAACACGCATCTGTTTGACACCTTATTTCCAGCTGGCGGAAGTTTCACCAGCACCTGGGCTTCCGCTCGTCCAGGTATAATGACTTTCTTTATACATGCGACTTTCCCGCAGGTGCCTCCGAGAATGAAGATTTCTTCTTCACCACACTCGAAAACTTCGACAGCGACATTAACTCTGCAGTTGTGTTTCTTCATGAAATCCAAACCAAGGATGCAATCATCCACAATCTCAGCCACAATGACGTTATGAGAGTATGATGACCCCCCTACATACATCGTGACTGACATTTCTCCCAAGACGGGTATTTGCTGACCGGAGGCAGTAAGGAGCCGGCAGTTAATTCTTCTCTTGAGTCCCCTTGAGGCTTTTACCAGTTTTGGGTTCACTATTGTTCTAGAGTCTCCTGTGTCTAGAGTCATTTTGCAATCCGACCCGTTAATAATACCCTGAATCACAAGGCTATTCCCGCTGCATGCCTGGGAGATAACAGTTATCGGGGCTTCCTCCGCGTCAGCCAGTACTCGCCCCTTAGTACCGGCTTTTATTAGTTTCCCTGATCCTGGGCAGGGGACGAACCCTCTCGCTTCTTCAGCTCCGCTATTTGTTCCTCGATCCATTTCATCCTTGCCATCTGGGTCTCCTTCTGCGGGCAATTGAGCTGAAGATGGCCCCTCTCGCCACACTTGTAGCACATGGCTCCAGGACTTCTCTTCGTAGGAGCCTTAACCTCCTTCACTTCCTCAGAGACCTCGCGGATCCTATGGGTCTGCCGTATGTCGTAGCGAACAGCCTCGACCTCCAAAGCGTGCGCCAATGCCTCCTTTAGCGAGGTATGGTGACGAAGCCTCACTGCAGCTCTGACCTCCAGGTCTTTGATTCCGTCCACAAATGCTTGAACAATATTCGTGTCTACCATCTTGGTGTCGGCTCCTGGGTGTGCCTTCCTGACGAGTTCTTCAATTTCCAACGCCCATTGTTGTAGTCCTTCTCCTGAGCGTTGGACTTGGTCACGCAGTTGGGCACGGAACACGTGCTCCAGGTGTCGCTCCCCATACCTGGATTCAAGTGCCTCCATCAGGTCTTGGAACCCATTTCCTGTATGTGGCAGTGCTTCCAGGACCGACAAACCTTGCCCTCTAAGCGCATCAGTGAGAGCGGTCAGGCTTTGCTCTTCCGTCCATCCGTTGGCAGTAGCAACAGTCTGGAATTGCCGACGATAAGCGTGCCAAGAAGTAGTGCCGTCGTATGGCGGCACTTTCACTCTTGGTCCTTGCGCCACTCCAGTGGTTCCACTAGACATCGCGACTCCCGTGGTTTCAAGGCGCACTACTTTCTTCTGTAGTTCAGTGAGGCCGGTTTTCACATTTTCAACATCCAATCCTAACCTGGTAACTCGTTCTTCGACTACGTCGACATCACTTCGAAGCTTAATCACCGTGTTACTAACATCATTTATAGCCCAAAGCGCTTTTTCTTGGAGGTCTTTTTGTTGCTCTTGTGACGCTTGCAAAGCGCTGAGCTTGCGTTCTTTTGACTCCTTCATTGCCTGAATTTCAGCCCTTTGCAGCTCCATTAATTTAATTAAACTTCCTAATTGAAGAGCCACTTCAGGGGCTGCAGAAGCTGTGGCGCCGCCGGTGGGCGTGGCAAGGTGGGCGTGGCCAGTGGGCGTGGCCCGAGTGTGCGTGTCCCGGTGGGTGGAGTCAGCAGGCGTGGCTTGCACAAAAGCGGGTGGAGCTTGTCCCGAAATGGGCGTGGCTTGAGCCAAAGTGGGCGGTGCTTGGGCCTGAGTGGGCGGAGTCTAGGGGCGTGGTCGGCGGGCGTGGCCTGGTCGGTGGAGTCAGTGGGCGGGGTTGACCCATAGTGGGCGGGGCTTGGTCCCCAGTGGGTGTGGTCTCCGCAGTTCGTGCCCTTGTCCTGACACCCTCCTTGAAGTCCTCTCTCGGAGTCAATGGCATCTCCAAATCCCACTTCTGACACCAGTTGTTACGTGTTAGGGGTTCGAAGGATTTGGAGAGAAAGACCTGCTGACTCTTTTGAAGACTTTATTCACTAGAACTAGGTCCAACACAAAGCACTAGGTCCAAACACTAAGCACTAATAATGTCCTATTTTGTAGCCAAGTCGTAGGTTTCACTGGTATCGCTCTTGATCACTAGTTTTCACTCCGAAGTCGCCTCGAAGGTAGCTCAAACTGAACTGTATTCGCTCGCCTCCCCGCGGCTTTTTATATGGGCCGAGACCGGTTCCAGACTAATCCAGAAAGATCCTTCCTGGAACGTACCCGACACGCCCGAACATGTTCGTGATTCCGGAAAGTTCGCGAATGTACCCGGTTTTCGAGACTATAGTTTCACAGCAGTTCCTCTAACGCCATCTAGTATTGAATAGGGGGTTTTATGTCGTCTTTGTTCTTCAGTGATTTTAATAGTTGACGCTAGATGGCATTTCGCACGCGGATCGCCAACGGCCAACTAATAAAATCAAATAACAAAATGTCAACCAAAAAAACAATATAAACTTTTAAAGCGGTTTTTCATTTGCGCAATTCCGTTTCCGATCCTAGCCGAACGAGCCCGACTCGACCCGAGTTCTATTCGAGTTGATGCGAGTAAGATGCAACACCTTACGAACGACGCGCGCGCGTGTAACGTAACTTTGCATTTCACTCAACTCGAGTTGATGCGAGTTGATGCGAGTTGCAACGCCTAACGAACCGCGCGCGCGAACCGCGTGTGTAACTCGGAACAACTCGTGAGGCCGCCGCGTATAACGTTCGGACGACCGAGTTGATTCGAGTTGCTTAAAACTGAACTCGAGTTGACTCGTTTAGGGTTTGACTCGAGTTACTCGAGTCAAATAACTCGAGTCGCACACCGCTACTTCAGATTGTGTCTTCGGTGGAAGGCGCAGTCAGGTCACGGTGGGCGGTGCCTGCCTTTGGAGAAGAGGAAGTCTCTACAGTGTCGTGCTCTGAAGTATTAGAGCTAGCACTGTCATTACTACAAATATTATTATTGAATTTCATTAATTGTAATAGAATTATTACTATCATTGATGTCGTTATTATATATTTGTGTTATTAACGGCTTATGGTAACTGGAATACGAAATATATTGTTTACATTTTAGAATTAGAATTAAAATAAACCCTTTGATTTTGCTGATCACTTTAATATAACATATATATATATTGTTATGAACACACAAAGGAACTAACGCCATCTAGCGTCAACTATTAAAACCACAACAACAAGATGGCGCGTAACGCAAAAACGTTACACTAAATTTTTTTCCAACCCCGATAAAGAAGTTTCACTTCAAAAACATTAACATGCGAATTGATAACCTGCTCATTTTTAAGCCGGAAAATATACCATACTGGATAGATATTATTTAATCTTTGCTCATTTTTTTTTTATTTCAGTAGGATGACATTGGGAATCTTGAGGGTAGAATTAAATAATAACCTCACTGACCAGTTTTTGTTTATACTTCAGGATTATTTAGAGGCAATAATTTTTCATAAAACTTCTTACCTCATGATTAGATTGACTTAAGTTGGGTCACGCCCAACTTAAATCTTACTTACTTAGTCGTATTAACACTATTACACACTATTACTATGGAACTACATCTTTTGGAAACCGAACAACTTTTAACCAGAAGCAGTTTAGAAGTCAAAAGAATAGAGAATGTTCCAGAACATGCCCAAGTTTATTAAAGGTGGTAGGGCAACGCAGCAGCCTCGGCTGTTGCTGAATGGGCAGGCCTGTCCGCGTAAGTACCACGACCTCACAGAAGACCAGCGTAAAGTGGGGAGTATGACAAATACTTTCGCGTTTCGTCTGGTGACTGAGGTAGCCGGAGCGGTATTGACTTACCATCAGGTGAACCGCCCGTTCACCCAAAAAAAAGTTACCAGCAATGTGCAGTGCAATTACGCGTGTGCAGGTTTACTTCCGGTCACGCTACCGGGGCCTGTGCGTCGGCACGCTGGTGTCCAGGAGTGCAGCGCTGACGGCGGCCGTTTGCGTCACTCACCCGCTCACAGTGACAAAGGACACTCGGCCCATTAACGTGATTACATCAACGCCCTACCGACACCCGCGACGTGGCATCCGCGTGCAAGTGACGAAAATCGTCATTCCTAAATGTAAGTAACTTATATGTATATCCACCACACTTACTGGCTATTATTGCTTACTGGCACAGAGGTCCCCTTTATATTATGTTGAGAATACAAACTTGTAGGTATATAGTCAATACTTTATGAGAAAAGAAAAATAATGTATATAGCATAATATGCTATATACATGCAAGAAGGAGTAAAAACACTCATAGAACGTCGAACTGATGATTTAAGAAATTCCAAAGAAAAAGAAAGACACCTTTGCCTCGCCTTAATACGAAGAATATACATTTACTAATTCTGTTATTTTTTCCACTTATTTATATTATACTGTTATTTCTTTTAGTCATGTGATAAATACAACGGTTTGTTATTATTATCATTAGTTCATATTGCCGCCGAGAGGTATTCGAACTATACTCCGGCGGAGCGCGCCTGACAATCAAATGGTAGCTACTATTTGTAGATTACTTCTTTTACTTAAACTAATGTATTTGCTTTCAATCAGTGGACTATTAAAGCTACACCGAACGAAAAAAAAATTTATTTTATAGTGCTAATCTCTGCAAATAACAAATTTTAATGAAAAAGAAATAATGATGTTAATTATGTAAATATCACGTCTTTTTCAACAATAATATCTTTATCAGATATAGTGTTATAAATGGTTAATGTCTTTTAGTACTGTTCATAAGTAAGATCAACGAAGTATGTGATAAAACAATTCAAACGCAATAAATAGGTTTAATTTACACCACAGTGATGTTTGTTTCTATTCAAGTTCATTACACATTTTAAGGTCATCGATGCCATTATCTTACAGTGGCGTCTATATGTGAGATGCGTCAGTCCTAAAAACAAGTAATTAAGCAGTATAACAATCTCCCTATTTCATTATTTGTTCATGCGAACAGTCAACGGCGATACCGTACGTAAAGCGAGAGCGCCTTTATTAAATTTTTAATTTCAGACTAAACGACATTAAAATTCGTAAATGCAAACACATCTCAGTCGTCAGTAGCAGCTGCTGTGAAGCATGGCTCACCAATCATATTTGCTTGATTAAAAATTTCGAAAGCATCCCAGCTGCATGACGTTGATTACTATAGACAGTAATCAACGTCATGAAATGTGAGATTCATTTTGGCATATTCAATTTTACGAAAAGAACTATACACATTTCGATGAAGTGTGAAATGTGGGTTTTAAATGTTCACATTTCATAACTTTCTATTTGTATGTTATTGCGTTATATTTTATAGGATATACATATTAGGTATATTCATTAACTGTAGTTTTAATATAATATACCTTTTTATATTGGATTCGATTAACAAAATAATATACTGTATATGCAGATGAAGTATTTCCCTTTCCTATAATCAATCCTTCCATCGTCACTGAGATATATAGGTTGACCATACACACTAACACGTGTTTATAACCGTTATATTTTTAACGTAAACTAATTTTATAGGCCGTACAATAAAATGAGTTACTACTGCACTGTCTATTACACAAATCTCATCTAAAAGCAAGTATGCGTTAATCTTTGCTTGGGAACTGCAAATACTCTCAAATAGTGCTTCTTTTGAATGCTCACAGAACTTTGGAATTTTATTTAAAACATGTGTATGGCGTAAACGGATGGAAAAGAGGAAATATGTTAATTTGTATGAAAATACAAAACCTATTTTCCTCAAAATTTTATAAGGTTATCCGAAAAAGTAATGTACTGTGATCATAGCTCTAGTAACGGAACTCCGTCATACCTTAATATGCTGACACACGATATCGGACCTAATGCTAAGGTCGCAAAGTTGTCATTACCAACGAAGACAATGTAAAAGTCCCGAATTAGGAGCCAAAAGAACCTAAAGTTGAATCACTTTTTAATTTCCTCAAAAATTCCATTTTAATTTAGAGGATATAAACATTGAAAGCTGATTGCAATCAGTCTCTTTACTAAAACCTTGCCCCTAGAATAATAATAGCCATTAAATAAAAAAAATAAATAAATGAAACACTTAAACGACAAAACCATACTACATCGTAATTGGTCCTAATCTATAACAGTAATCCGTTTTAACAGGGGGCAATGTTACGGCAAATCGAGGCTACCTTATGCAAAGGTCACCCGCACTTTTGCTACTCATGCGTCAAGTACCAGATGTCATGGCTGAAGTGCCAATGAGACCTATCGGCATTAACTTCAATGGTGATGAACTCCTGAACTTTCATGAAGAGTGTGCGGTAATTGGTTGGCATTTCTTCTACAAAGAGGTAAAGTTAATTTATACTTAATACATGAATATGTTGTCAGAAAATTTTCATATTCCAGTTTCTATAATATTAAATTGAAATTCATACTCATGCGTAATATTACAAAAATCGTTTAAATTAACAGCCTATATGCGCTAACGGAGTCTGTGCAGAGGGTACTAAGGCAAAATCCCATATTATTTAGACTTATGAGTTATGAGGTGAACAACATATTTTAGAAATAAGATCCTACAATGTTCTCCTTTACCGCTGAGAACGTGATAAGTCAGCACTTAAAATTTTATTGGTGCCAGCACCGGGATTTGATGTCAGATTGCTCGAGTACCTATATTGAATTAAAACCCGGACACAGAGCTGTCACGTCAATTTACATTTGTAAAAATGCAAGTTAATACATACAGACAACGAACCACATGTTGGCATTCAGTTTGGCCATCTGGCCGACTTAACTCACTAGTGTTTGTTTTATTTTTTTACTTCATCTCCGTTATTTTTAGAAATCGACGAGCAGCCACATGCTGCAGTGGGAAGATGAATTTTTAATTTTGTTTCATTTAAGACACATAGCAAACTAAGTAAGAATGGAAAAATTGCTTTTCAAGTACGCCTTAAATAACATAAATGATGGATATAAAATATACCTAAGACCTAATGTATCTGTGGTTAAATACATAATATCATATTTCAAGATGAATTGCTACTTACTACTACTATTTTAGCAAATTTCTATTCTTATTCTTGTTACATTCTATTTCTTAAATAATCTTTTTGCAACTATGCAGCGCCGGGACAAGGGTAGAGCAAGAGGTGCGATCGCTCTGGGCGCCAGGTATCAAGGGTCCTTAAAAATCACATGCATAAAACAATTGACATAAAATAAAATTTATATGACATCTTTTTGAAAGACGCGGGTAGTTTTTAATATTTATATTTATTGTTGTGTATATGTTTTTATATTTCTTGACTGATGAAAAGAACTTATAGAATTAAATTAAATTAGTAGGAGCGCTGTTGACGTTATATATACAAACATTATAGAAACAAACTCTTGCTTAATAGTTGTTGTAGTTGGCGAATGTAATATTTTTTATTATTTAGATCATTAGCTGATTATTTTTATTTTTATTTAGATCAATGTAACAAAATGTGATATTAAGGATTTCTTCAATTAGTTAATAGAATACGTACAGATCTTTATTGTAAGAGCTAGGCTCTTCTCGGTGCAGCAACCCACTAGTTCAGATGTGTAACACCCTCCATCCTTCCCTGTTCATAGCCGAGATACAAATAACAAAGATAATAAATTATATTATTAAGTGAGTAATTCTTTTTGTGTGTTAACGCACCATTTCAATTTAGTTATGAAGCAGTAGAAACTTTATCAATGATAAAGAAACAGAGGTATAATAACTACACCTACTTTATTTAACTTCAATAAGTATTGATTTTTGCATTAAATAGATTTGAAATAATTGGTTATTTATGCAAAGCGAAAGCATCGACTATATGGCGCTGAAAAACAATATCGCTCTACCCTGATCAAAAGCTAGGGCCGGCACTTCAACTATGAAACTCATGTCGTCTGAATGTGCGTCAAAGAATAAATACCATAAATGTATACTAATTTTTTTATTTTGTATTATTATAAGGATAAAATATTTCCAAGAAAAAAGTTCCTGTTGCAAAAGGACTTGAGAGTGCAGTTTGTCAACATTGCAAAGAAGCATTTGTGGTGCGACACGTTGTCGATAACATATCAGAAAGCGCTACAAAATCTCGGTTTCCTGGGATATTCCGATAAGAGCGCATATATATGTATCAGGGACGTAAGTAATCGTCAACGTCTAGTTAAGACTCGATCTGCATGCTTCAGAAAACAAGTTGCAAATTGTCAACTCATACACAGATAAATAATCGAATATTCAAGTATCAGGAAATCCTGCAAAAAAAGTATACTACTTGTACGAAACTGACGTCACAAACAAAAAAATTTAATAAGTTCAAATCTCAAAATCTAAGTGTCATCGCCAGTCTTTACTTCGTAATTTTTTTTTTCGGTTATGTTTTTCTATCGATTAAAAATATTTACACACGAAAACAAAGAATTACCCTTTTTTTCCTTATCAAAAGCTTATACACTTCCAAGTTGTTACATGGCCATATTTTATGCAAATATGCAGCTCGTTTTACAATATATTGATCAAAATATTTGTTCAATTAAATTGTACAATAATTTCTTCTTACAGCCGGATAAAACTGCTCAACCCTGTCATGTAAGTTTTTTTTTATGTGATAATGTGGCAAGCTAGCAGGCGGTTCACCTGTGTTAAGTGATAACCGCCGCCCATTGACATTTGAAAAACCCGTAGGGTTGCAGATGCTTTGCCACCTTGTAATAAAGTGAGCGACGGCTACGTCAGTCAAAAAGTAAGTAAAACAATTCTATTTCGCACTAGTCTTCTGTGAGGTCGTGATATTTACACGTACTGATCTGCACCTATCTTCGATGTTGTATGAATGGGTGAAACATCGAAGACTGTTACGTGACTCTACCCCAGTATTACAGTATTGTAACCACCTGTTGTATTTTAGCTTTTAATACTAAATTTATTTTAAATTACCTACACCGTTGATTATAACTAAAGGAAGACATATCCAAATGTATTGTGATATTATTATGCAGTTTTGAGTATTTTCAACGACAGAACTCAGAGGGAGCGGGGAATTACAAGGTTGATAAAGTTGCATAAATAAAAGCCCATTTACACGATGCCATTTTCTTGTACATACAAGAGCAATAATTGAATGCAATAAATTGCGCGCAATAATTGACCATCAAGAATTGTAAGCAACAGTTTACACGCAGATATAGTAAAAAAAATTGAATGCGATTATTGTATGCAAGTCTTGACAGGAAATAATTGCAAAGGTCTTTTGTTTACACCAATGCAATTATGTTTAGGCGATTATTGCTTTCAAGTTTTGACTTGTCTAAACACGTGCTTGTATGTGCGTGTACAATTTATTGGCGTGTTGCTTCAAGTATTGCACGTATTTGCGTTGACAAATTTACGTTTTACAAAGGGCTGTTTTTTTTAAAAAAAATGGCTCAATAATAAGTGTTCAAGTAAGATTATGCCGATTAAATATATTTCATTGAGATTTATTTATTATGATCCATATATTATTATTCATATTTTAATCCAACTTTTTTTACGACCTTTTCTCAATATTTCTATCCTCAAAAGAACAGCAATGATTAAATACCCTCACTCATTGCACAAATTTTTGCCAAGGAAGAGAGAATGCAATTGAATACAAGAATTGCTTAAGAAATTTTTGTGTGTGCTGTTTACACCAAGGAAAGTTTTGAAACAAAACTTGAAGCAAGTCTTGTTCAACAGGTCAAGAATGTTATGTGCTGTTTAAGGCCCATTTACACGGTGCAAGTTTCTTGCCTGTTGTATACAATTAAATTGAAGCAATAAATGAGTTGCATGGTCTAAACATTCATACACAGCACATAACATTCTTGACCGTTGAACAAAACTTGCTTCAAGTTTTGTTTCAAAACTTTCCTTGGTGTAAACAGCACACACAATAATTTCTTAAGCAATTCTTGTATTCAATTGCATTCTCTCTTCCTTTGCAAAAATTTGTGCAATGAGTGAGGGTATTTAATCGTGGCTGTTCTTTTGAGGAAAGAAATATTGAGAAAAGGTCGTAAAAAAAGTTGGATAAAAAAATGAATAATAATATATATATGGATAATAATAAATAAATCTCAACGAAATATATTTAATCGGCATAATCTAACTTGAACACTTATTATTGAGCAATTTTTTTTAAAAAAACAGCCCTTTTTAAAACGTTCAACACTTGCATGAAAAATTTGTCAACGCAAATACGTGCAATACTTGAAGCAACACGCCAATAAATTGTACACGCACATACAAGCATGTGTTTAGACAAGTCAAAACTTGAAAGCAATAATCGCCTAAACATAATTGCATTGGTGTAAACAAAAGACCTTTGCAATTATTTCCTGTCAAGACTTGCATACAATAATCGCATTCAATTTTTTTTTTACTATATCTGCGTGTAAACTGTTGCTTACAATTCTTGATGGTCAATTATTGCGTGCAACTTATTGCATTCAATTATTGCTCTTGTATGTACAAGAAAATGGCATCGTGTAAATGGGCCTTTAGACCATGCAACTCATTTATTGCTTCAATTTAATTGTATACTACAGGCAAGAAACTTGCACCGTGTAAATGGGCCTTAATGATACATTTTTGTAACATTATAATTCGACAAAATTAAAAAAATAACACTAAAATTTATTAAAGTAAATAAAACTTTTCATTACCAAAATGCTTTGACTACTTTCTATTTAGTTTGCAGTATTCTATTTGAATTAGTTAAACTACTGTTTATTTAAATGGTTCTCAAAGGGGGCGGTACTACCCTCCAGTGGGCGCTGAGGCTTTCTAAGACGACGATTGAAACTTAAAATTTTTTTTTGCCCTCATTCCCGAGACTAATAAAGCTTCATCTGACCCAGAACCGGTGGGCTAGCCACGGGTTTGAATCTCCGCTGTGGGAAGGGCCGTGCATGTGCTCATGCGTGCGTTTGACTATGGTATGGCATCTAAGGGCCAACTTTAAACAATATTGCTCGCGATAAATAACAAGTGATGACTCCGTGGCGCAGTTGCCAAGGTATTGGCTTCGGCGTCGGGGGTCGTGGGTTCGATTTCCACACGGGACAACTATTTGTGTGACCCACAGATAGCCGTTTGGCATCTGGGTGTTTGTCCGCGTGAAATTTATGTTTGTAAAACGTCCTTTACAACACAGGATAATATTATCCTAAAGTAAGGGCAGTGTTTTTTAAAAAAGACAAAAAAAAGTAAAGTATAATTTTTAACAGAAAAAAAAAACCGACTTAAACCAGAAAATTAAAAACATTGTTAATACCTATAACATTGCCATATACAAGTGCCCTCGATTGAAGTGATGCGTACCACCCTTGGGGTATCTCCTTACCGACAAAAAAAGCATAATCAAAAACGGTTCTTAAACGATGAAGTTATCCAGGAACACACATAAAAAAATATATACGGTCGAATTGAGAAACCTCCATTTGGAAAATTGGAGAGTAAAGCACAGAACAAAGTAGGCACACTGTTCTGTGTTCTACTCTCCACTTGAAAATAACTTGCGTCCTCACTGTCCAGACATTTTACTCATTAAAGAAAAAGTTAATTAAACAGCCCACCTCACTATTATTTCCTTACATATTTCTGTACAATATTTAGACGAAGAATTTCTGACGGGCGTTACGTAATCAATTTTTGCTAAAGTGGGCGGGCGGTAAACCAAAAAAGTTTGAGAAACATTGGTCTACATTCGTCACTAGCTTTTTTTACAGTCCGTAGACTATTAAAGCTTCGTCGAACGCAGAACAAGGGAATTAACCATATTCCAAGACTTTGATAAGGCCCTCGCGAGTTGGGCCGGGAATGTGCTTATCTGTGTGGAAGCTCAGCTGTTCCTTATGTACGCGTTGTGTTCGTTTGGCAGTTTTCTCTCGCAAAATTGCAAGTAAAATGAATTTTATTCAAGCTTTAACATGGTGAACTTAGCACTACCTTAATATATTGAAGGGCATGTATGGAGCACCGCTTGTATGTCGAGGTAAGGCAGTTGCAATGATGATGGCGCCGGATGCCCAGTGGACCAACTGTACTGGTTTCAGCAACATCATGCACATGTTCAGAAGCTATTTCTTAAGAAACTACATGAATTGTATCAGCAGGTAACCGCTTAACTTTATTCCCCCTTCTAGCTTTTGGATTAAATATTTTTAAACGTTATTGATTATGTAATTGACTTCTTTTGTCTTCTCCTTCATATTATTATCATTTAAGTGTTATGTTTCAAAAATATAAATACATGGAAAATCATAGACGTTAAATACAAAATTAAAAATCTGTCCATTATCGGTATCAAATTAAGAAGCATATAAAATTTTGTAGAAAAAATAGATAAAGAAACCTAAAAAAAGGTTTTTATTAAAAATAAAACTGCAGGGCGTAATTTGAACATCAATTCTATTTATATTAATAAAGCATACAATTTACTAATTAACAATAAGTGCCATTCAGCTATTAAAGGACGATGACCACTTTTGCATGGGGTCGTGCCCTGAGTCTTCATATTTTACGTCAATTGTTTCTATGCTAATATTCGTCTGACATAATTTATTGTCATAAAAAACCTATGCTTATTATGTCAGGCGCATACACACAATTACCGATGAATACGAACTGCACTATAGCAAAAGTGACATTTGCATTCGCATCCAATCATAAACTGCATCTACTAATATTATAGAAACTTAAAAATGTGAATATCGTGGACGTATTGAGAGAAGAGGTCATCGTCGCCTAAACATTTAAAAAAAAATCATAAACGCAATATCGATCCACGTGAACGTACTAATTAGGAATGTTACTTCAAACGACCTTAAAAATATATTGTTTTTAGAAATTTATAGTTGCATCATCTGAAACATTTTTTTAAATGTTGTGTTAGAAAAATTCGTATTCAAACGCAAACACCAAATATTGTAATCATGATTGTTATCTTTTTTTTCTATGATTCTGGCATTTTGTTATAAAGTAAAATATAGCCTATACATGTCCCACTGCTGGGCAAAGGCCTCCTCTGTACAGAGGGTATCAGGGCATAGTCCACCACGCGGCCTCACTGCGGATTGGCGGACTTCACATATCTTCAAAATTTTTTTTATTATTATTGCGAAAATATTTAGGTTTCCTCACGATGTTTCCCTTCACCGCTGAGCACGTGATAATTCAGCACTTGAAATTAACAATTTCATTGGTGCCGGCACCGGGGATCGAACTCGGGTTGCTCGAGTATATTGAGTTAAAGGCGAGTGCCCGGACACTGAGCTATCACAGCTCGTCGTCATTTTGTTATCCTATAAGCCAATATTATTATCTTTCTCACGCTTGTCTTTTTTTAATTAAGTTTGTGACACAGTTAATCGTACATTCCTTTCATGTAATTATTGCCATAAAGAGGATTACCAAAAATATTTTTGTCGATTACCTACTTTCTCGATTTCTTAATGTTACCATTTCATAACCATTGTCAATTAAATATTTTTTCCAGTCTTTTCAACCCGGAATACAACTTGGACTGGTTGACAATGAAGAAATCATTTTACGAGAATGTCAATGAGCCAGAATACGACTACCTGCCCGAATTATACGACGCGATTATTGACGATTCGGCAAGCACAGAACTGGAGTGATAATATACAGTTTAACGGCCATGTCCTATGCTCTTAAATAAAAACAGTGACAAAATATATTTACTTATGAAATAAAATAAAGTACAAAATAATTTAATAGGCTATCATTAAAGTACATAATTACAATTGTTTGGCCACATTAAGGTACTTCAAAAATATATATTTAATTTCAGCGAGTTGTCTAAATATTTTATTTACAGCCATCTTTCAGTATTAGCAATCATGCCTTTTTTGTTTATGTTTATTAACAAATTAATCAAGATATAATTAATATAATGACTATATTTCGAATGCGGAATTCGAAAGTCACGCTATTTTTTTTTTCACAAGTGGCATAAGGCACCTTGTGATGTTATATTATACAGTCACTATCAATATTATATATGTCACGTTTTAATTTATTTTTAATATATCTACGATATTTTCATCAATAATTTCACAAATGTAGTATATTCACGCTATTGACTATTAAACGACAATTCAGAATAGTTATCGGAAATATTACAAAAATATCTTCAAGAGGGGAAATAAATAAAATTTTGAAAAATACTTTATTTTTCTCCTTTGTTCTCTACGTGAAAAATGTGACTGGCAGAATAGGTCAAACGTCGACTTGTACTGCACTTGTAACATGTCTATGAAGATTTATTTAGACCTCCCTTGCGGTGTTCCGATAAATTATTTTGTCATTTCATATTTGGACATTAAGAGTGCGTGTGTGAATATGAATCAAAATGTGTCATTACTGAAAACGTGAATAAAGAAAGAAGCTTTAAGAGTAAAGTTTAAAGTGGAAATTACTAATTTGAATAAAGATCATCTGTGAGGTAGAACCTTCTAAAGAAGCTATTAAGAACGAAAAAAATTGACCAAGCCATTATCAGACACAAAAAATGTACAATACAACGTTACAAACAACGAGTTTTTCTATGTGATTGAACGGGCTTATGAGGGATGTGGTTTTTTTTGTATTAACTGATGTTTGTGCTTTCAGTCCCGAGACTATTAAAGCTTCATCTGAAGATTTATACAATTTCCACGATGGCCTGACCAAATTATTCTCTCTCTCTCTAGATTTCGAATATATACGTTTCGAATTCTTTAGTCAAAGGCCGAAAAATGTCATATATTTGGGCATTGACTAAGAGTAAGACTAAGTCAGAACTGAGAATTGACTAGTCAAACCTAGGAACGCCGGAGCTTCGAGGTTTGACTGTAACATACACATTAAAGTAAAACCCATAACACAAATAAAATAAAATAGATAAAACTTACATAAAAGAAGTAATTTCATCGGCTACATTAAAAAAAATGTTCATTCCATGAAATTTATTTTCTAACCTGATTGTGACCAAAATACACGGTTACTAATTATATACATAAATATACAATAATAAAGTCCTAAACGGTTGGGATAATCTACTAAGGTACTAATCAGCATAAATAATATAAAGAAAAACACTTCGGTCACCTAAACCATTTACTAATTGTAATAAAATATCATTGCAATTATACTCGGCTACGTTATTAGGTAAATTATCGAAGTGCGACTTCATTACTCATTGACCGATATCGGGTATTATCAAATTATTTTTTGAAACAACGTCGACCGCGATTGTACCAATAACACGTTTAAGTGTGCAAGAAAAGCTATTGAACGAATTATTGAAAATTGAACTATTACGGGCAATAGAGCGACGCGTAAACAGACGTGAAAACTAGAACTAACCTAACTAGACTAGGTTCCATATTGATGTTTCATTTGTCATTTCTACAGCCAGCCTTTTTTAATGAAGCTCGCATGAATCGCTACGCAGTCGGCCGGTTATCAGATACGTTTAATCTACATATCGTCGAGGGTTAGTACTATGCACTGTTTTACGGCGCAATTTTTTTTTACTTTCTTTTTACCGCTTCCTTTCTGGTTGGTTCGCGTTGCAGTAGTGAAAAAAGTCACTGCTCCATTTGGCCAATATGATGGTTTTTACATACATCTTTATATATATAATTCTTCTGCACATGTGTATGTCACTGAACTCCTCCTAAGCGGCTGGATTTAATGAAATGACCGATTTTACTGATTTTTTTGTGTGTAATCTTCAGGTAATCAACCAGAAGACGAGAATGAATTTATTAATTTTCTTGTTTATAAATTGTTGTCGGATTTAAGTCGTGTGTACGGGACAAAATCTGTCGGTCCGCTAGTATTATATAATTCTGCTATGCTACATACCAATAATTGATCAGACCGGGACGCTCAGCCGTCACGTTCTTAGGAGGGTAAGGGCTAAATATCACAGACGTAGAAACAGTGAGTGACGATATTAGGAAACGCTCAACACTGAATCATTTGCTCTAAATTATAAATCTGGATAGTGGCTCCCGCGCGAGTTGGTATTTGTTTTTGATGTCAAAATTGACGTACAATATAATACATGACGTAATATATTATATAACGAATTGTTTCATAAGACCTTTAATAACACGGCAGTGACCGTACGATCGCGAGATAATTATTGTCAAAAACCTCCCTTCGGAGTTAAATTGTTTATCTTTGGTGAAATTTTGTATAGCCGTAAGTAAAAGACTTAATACCATATAACAAAAACTAAAATAAATACATAATTTATATAATTACATTTAAATAAATAATAATTACGAAGAATAATATAAGCTGATAGCTTTCATCGAAAATATTGCCAGCATTGAAAAAAATTATTTATTTCCAATGTAATACGTCTAATCTGTCTTTTGTGCTTGTTCCCTTTTATAATAAATTTTAAGATTAATACACAGAAGTAAAGTTACGTAAGTTTTCTATTTCGAAAACATCCGAATTTAAAAAGTTAACATGTAGAAATATTTAATGGTAAAGTATCATGGTCCAATTTACCATAAACTCAAAATCAAGCATAATCTAATATTTCTGCCATTCTTAGTTCTAGAATTTTCCCATACAAGCAAAGTTTTTGTTTTATACGCAGGTTATGTCACGGGATAGTATAAGATCGGAAATTTATGCTGTATCACATCCACGGCACATTTTCAGTAAATTACAATAATCTTCACAGCTGAGAATGGACCACAGAAGTTGTATGAACTATATTTTTACATGCCAATTTATTCCAATGTAAATAAACATACTAACGTAGATTCAAAACTTAGTACGCTAAAATTTTACATTAGAAAGGACAAAGTGTAGCGGAATCTTTCTATATTGTTTATCACACACACACATACATACACATATTACATATAAATATATATTAATTAAAAAAAATATAAAATGTTTGTTAAAATCCTTCCTAAATGCTCGGAACAGATTCTGCTACTTGTTAGGTACAAAAGGAATAGTCGAAACTTTCAACCATTTCAACGTGTTTCAACATTGTTCATAAAACAACTTCATCGAACAAGAATTACGTTTTCGAGTTGGAATTTACACTACTTTTTTACTAAATTTAAACCTTAAACTTCTAAAAGATGAGCCATCTATTCGGTTTCAAGATCGGCTGAAAAATATATTACCATCAGACATTAACATGGTATTTCTTATAGATATCGGTAGGTCGTCATATATTTCAATAGCCTCATCGTATCTCGTTACTTACACGGTGCTAGCTCTATATGAAATAATAAATCTAAAATGCGCAGACCGTACGATTTCGATACTTCGGAAAAATCCGAAAAGACGCTGACATACGGACGTAAAACAACTTTCTCGTAGGCTCTTTGTACAAGATCAGTCTTATACTGTCATAGAACATCGTCTGTATGCGTTATAATCGTTATAAACGAGAAAGTCTGCAGCGCGCTCAAATTGCCCGTTAATCGTGAATATAAACGAACATAGACGTCCGAAACGCGTTCTACATTTCTATACTATTAATTACACCCGGATTGTTACCGTTGATTTAATACTATGCTAATAGAATGAAATATATCGGGGATAGAATTACGCAAGTTCCACAATTACATATCACCACGACGCTCGGTGTTCAGATTATGATGAAGAGTATGAATATAATCATCAGCAAGCCCAGCAGTATGCCAATCGCCAGCCACTGTCGTCGATCTGGAACAAACTTTGATTTTAACACAATTTTTCTCATTGAACCCGCTATGTTAATGTGCTAAGGAAAAAAATAGGTACTCCTAAAAATATGTGTCTTCTAAATAACGTAAGACATATATCCACAAGAAATTTATACATATATCATAATGAACCTATAACTTGTGAAGTGAAATAATATATAAAAATAAACATTAGAAAATTTTACTCTAATTGTATTCATTTCATTTACCTACATGAACACTTATGTAACACAATCCATGCATTGTATATAAATATTATGTAAATGTAAATATTCATTTCTTATATAAAATTTATAAGTTAAATATGAATTAAACGAAACAAATTCTAATTATTAAAATAGGTTAACTTAAAAATCAACTCTTCTTACGTCTTATAGACTTATATATTATTATAATCTGATGTGACCAGTCATACCATTATTCATATGGAGTACTTTCGCCACTTTCTTTATGGTCGAATCCAGCTTTGAATCAGCATTTTCGAGTTCCGTGTTCAAATCGTCCAACATCCTAAAATTAAAACATTGTATGTTTTTATCGCATTAGGATGGCTTCGAAAAATCGAAATTATTTCGATACATATAAAATAATCTCCCAAACAATTTTTCACAAAATTGTTCACGAGTTAGTTTTCGCACAAATAGTGTAGACAGAGAGAGGTGCTATCTACATTTAAACAAGGCTTTATAACGTTCAATTTTCAAACATGGGATTTTGTGTAAGTGAAAATTTCATAAAATCTACGTCTCTATAAAAACGCAATCAGGATTAGAAAGCGCAACTGCTTTTACAAAGGGAAATTATTAGTTAAATATCTATCGAACCCACTAACTGCGGCGACAAGGACATGAACAGCACACTCACACAGCTTGCTCGTCGAGCTCGATCCCGATCTGCTTGGAGACGGTCTTCAGGGACCCCACAGAGTTGCTGATCACGTGCAGCTGGTCATCCTGACTCATCAGCATCTTCTCCTGCATAGACATTATGTCGGCGTCGTTATACGCGTCGAACCTGTTCGGGCTGTCTGTCTGGTTGGCCAGCTTCGAGTACTTGGAGTACTTGGGCGTCGACGTCCAAGAGTTGCCGAAGTGCATCGGGCTCTCTTCGCCGAGCAGTGGCTCCCGCGCCGTGCCATCATTGTCGCGGTTCCGGTTTAGGTTCATCTTGCCTTTCATCACCTGGAAACGGGCAAAGCTGACTTTCGACCGCGGTGCAACACGCGGCGGCGAGTGGGAAGAATACACATTCGGAAATTAGGCTACAGAATGTTCAATAAACTGTGGCATGGTCCTGAATAAAACAGATGAAAAAGTAAAACGGGTACCTTCACTTCCTGTTTAGTTGCTTCGATGAATGTCCTTCTGTCACTAATCTCCTTGTTATCGATCTTAAATTTAGATGAGTTCTTCTCCACAATGCGTAACATGAACGTTAAGGAAAGTAAAGTTTCCCTACGTTAATTTATTTTTATGTTACACATATATTATTAGTTAATATTATTTTACATTATATATTAATCTATACATTAGTTTACAAGCTACATAAATAATTACTATTTAAAACAAAGTCATAATTTTTATTTATTTAACATGTTAATGTTGGCATACATATATAATATGTATGCGAGTGTTATGCGTTTTTAAGAGTGCAACTTTATGACGGTTCAAGTTCCAAAGATCACTCGCTTTACGCAATTAAAAAAATATTATTACACATCATGAACGTCGATATAGAGAAAATTGTATTTTAACTATGTATCTGAGCACAACAGATATTGCGATTACAGAGGATACGCGATCGTTCTCTCCGCTAGCTTAGATAAGTCACACATTTTCTTATCGCTAATAATATCAAGAATATAACTTGAAAATATAAATTCCATGGGCATGGCATTTGAAAATGTAACGGGCGAAGTGTAATTTTTTGCACAATGTGTTATTCTAACGTGTTTAATGGTAATAATTTTTATTTATGGGGCAGCCTTGTGGCCAGGGTCATTTAATATTATTTTAGCAATGATTCCGTTATTTTATATTAAGTTATAATATGTGAAAGCAAAGAGCGTTGATAACAGGGTAAATCATATTATTGTCTCAAGTTTTTATCGCTATTTCGTTTCGGTTGTTTTTCTTTGCGCAAATGATTGCCTGTTTTAATTATGATCCTTTCGTAATTTATATCAGATCAATAGTAAGATACAAATAAGATAGATCAACACAAATAAATCAAATATATTGAGTTATTTAGTGATATAATATAAATTATATAGCGGAAACGAAAATGAAGCGAAAACGGAAATGTAAATACTCTGAAAAATACTCTGTTATTATTTTCTGTTATTCTCTCTGTATTTAATATTCAAACTTAAGTAGCGGTTAGTTATTTAGATACCGTGATTATTTTAAGTGATATTTTAGTTGAATAGATAAATAATAGGAAAAATTTTGGCGCCGCCAGGATCTAAATCTACGTCTTCTGGGTAACGCCCGCAAAAGCTTAGAAATTCTCGACCACTATTTACTTCTCGTTGCACTGTTGCTTCTATCTAGTTCTCTGTTGCACTTATGCATGCTTGGCACCACCTTTCGTTCAAATGTTCATAGCTCACTAGATAAGATTTTCGCGTCGTGAGGACATTGGCCCCTTGGCTCTTTTTCTATGTTAATAAATGGCAAACTAGCAGGCGGTTCACATAATGTAAGGTGATTACCAAATCTCATGGATATCAGTAATACCTTCGGGTTGCAGATGAGTTGAAGTTTTTAGACAATTTTCTTATCTATTAAATGCCCATTTAAAGCAGTATATTTTATAAATTTAAATTGTTTATAGTGCTAATGTTTGCACTTAAGATTGAACATTAAAATATGTAGAAAAAGTGCGAAAAGATTGTCGCCGTTGTGGGAATCGAACCCACGTCTTCGGCATTCGCGGCCCGACGCTCTAGCCACTGAGCTCAACGGCTGATTGCCACACCGACGAAAATCTTAACGCATTCTTCTACATTGTTTTCTTAGCATTTGAAGCAATGCTTGGCGCCATCTATTGTTATATCCTTTCCAGCATACAAACAATTGCTACATATTTTAATAGTATATTTTATTATTAAATTTAACATTATATTTTTATAAAAACAGTATGGCTGTTTTTACCCAGCCAGCTGCTCAGTTATTCATTACAAATTAGAACCTTAAAAACGCGCCTGAGCTTCACCTCGTCATAACATTCCATTACAAAAGTTGCAGAAGCAGAAACTGATTTTAAAAAACCGGGCAGATCCTGACCAGTTGCGGAAACAGAAAGGGACGCCTGTTGCATTACTAGTTATCTACTATGCATACTTAACAAGGTGATTAGACTACTAAAGTGATGAATATTATTTTTATGATTCAATAATCAATAAAATATCGAGCATAATGTCAAAAAATCTTGTAAATGTATCATACAATTATATGCTAAAAATATTTAAATACATGCAGGAGTAAACAAAATAAGTTAGAAATAACGAAATTGATAAAATCCATTATTTTTAACAATGTTGCATTGATTTACTAAAAAGGATATTTATTGTATCTTCCAGATCTTCTAAATCCCATTCAATACTACGGAGAGCATTCCTCAGCTCTGTAGAAGTCCATTCTACTTCAGGGCTATTGGGTATTGTTGGAGACTTTGATATTTCTTGCCAGCGTAAATACAAGCCTCGTGTTTTGTTCAATGCCTTGAACACCTCACTATTTAAAAAAAAAGATTGATAAGTTAATATATGAGGTCATTCTAATTGCTGGTCTTTTATGAGGCCATGTTACTTTCTTCGGAAGAGCCTGCCCATTTATTCAACATAAGAAGCTGTTGCTCTATCACATTATGTCTTACAAAGTGATAAGTAGTTAGTAAATCTTTACATTCCATAGGTAACACATAATGTTAGTATATAAATTATTTGTCTATGATTTATAGCACATTCTCCCTCCAGAATCAATTAATATTAAGCCATAATTAATCCTGCTAATAATCATAGCTGAACAAGTAAATTTTATCCCATCCCGCACCATAAGACTTAATATGAAAAACAATTTGCTAATGACATCAACTGACAGCCAAATTCTTATGCACTTTCATCATATTAAATCAACACCATCAATTTGTGATTTTAATGCAATATGGATTCTAATACATGATGGTGAAACATGTTAATGTTATTGATGTTTAGGGTAATTTAAGTAACAAGTGGCACCTAAGGAATGGCTTTGAAAAAATCTACAAAAGGTTAAAATATGCACTTACTCTTTGACGACGTAAAAGGGGTCTTCTAAAGTCATGTCAGAATAAAGCACTGTATAATTGCAAGCAGTTTCATGTGACGGAAGGACGACGACACAATAATCAGAAATAAGCAACTTATATGCGCGTACTCGAAATATTACAAGTATATCCAGATATCCCCTCGCCTATCCCTCAAAATATCGACAGCATTAAACATACCCAGTGTGTATATTCGCTCGATGCTTATTCTCCGTCCTTTGCTAACTCATACAACATTGGGCTGCTGCAGCTGCGTACTTCCGACGTCACAATGCGCAATCGCACAACGCAGACTTCGAGCAACGACCGACGTGACGCTATAACATGCCTTATAATAAATATATCACTAATGTTATGGCAAGCTAGCCTCCACCGTGCCTCCACCACAATCTCTCCCCCTAAAAACCCCCCTCAAGCCTCAACCTCAAGTCCTCAACCCTTATGTCAAAATTAATTAAAGGTAGGAAATGTCATTCGGTAGTTGTTATACTCTGTGCTTCATTTTCAAAATCTAAAATCTTATAATATTTTGTCGTTATGTGGTGATTAATAATTATTTTAGTTTAAAATCGACCATATAAGGCACAAAGGCCACAGCAACAAATATTACGATGTTATTCCTTTATAACGCCCAGGTTACTCTTTGAAAATTAAACTAACAACTAACATTCATTCCTACTCACTCCTTGCCATTTACAGTCTGTGCCACCGTTCTACAGTCCATCGATTCAATTAATTTGTTTTGTTCATTCTTCACTGCTCATCTTTTGCACGCTGGAAATAGTGATTATTTATTTTATTTTGCAAAATTATTAAACAATAGATAAACAAAATGAATTCAGTGTTAAATCCTGAAGCCCCCGAATTTTATCCACATCTCACATCGGTTACAGAGGTACGTGACTTAAAACTACCCTAAATTCTTGACAACACCAGCATGTGTTTTTACCATAATCAAGTTTTTCAGCTTATATAAATGTTGGCTAAATAAACTAGGTTAAATTCCGTTAGCTAATGACCTAGTTTACATTTATCAGAAAGGTTTGAGTCTGCTCTGTCTTAAATCAAAGTCTGAAAATCGAAATTACGTTCATGGACAAAGAAAACAAACTCCTTGTGAGTGATAACTACTGCGTACGTCACGGAGCCAGGATGCTGAACCATATTTAATAGACCTTATTACTGACACCAATGAAAATATTTTACTAAATTTAAAGGTCACACTTAAATTATACTTTACTTATATTAAAAATTACTAATTTCCAATTCTTTTTTATTCATTGATAAATTATTGCTACTGTGTATTAAAAACAATTCTTATCGATTTTAATGTTTTGTATATCGTAATTTTAATACTATTTACCACAAATTTTCAATTTCTATGAATATAGCTTGTCATAATGTAAAATAAAACCATAAATGTTTAGGTTTTAATGAAACATTTATTTAGTAACTAATACTGTTAATTAGAAATATAATGTTTATAATTAAATTAAAAGTGTAATTTGATTTAAATATGTAAAGTATATTTAAAAATAAAAACAAACAAATGCTGTTTTTAAAAAATAAACAGATTTGCTCACATTTAAAAAAAATATGCATATCATAAACTGCAATTATTATTAAAACGGTAAAGTCGAACTTGTACGCCAATTTCATACCTACCCATTATACCTCTATTATAAAATTGGTAAATAATTAGCACCAATATTCTGAGGAACGGGTGGACCCAGCAAGTTGAAATTCATATCAGATACTGATTTCAATAGTCCCTCTTAGGGTTATAAAAATCAAGGTCCTAAATAAATATGATACAAAAATTTTGAGCAAATTTAAATTTAGATGAGACGAAAACTTGTAAGTACCAAACTGCCTAAACTTTCAGTAATTGCTTTTCGCCAAATTTCGTGATTTTAGGCCAACGAGAACTACCATATAGGTTTTCGACCCAAAAATAGTTTGTTGTTTATAGTTCTTTTAAAAAAAATTGAAATGAACATAGGTTGGTACTTACAAGTTTTCACGAAAATCTAAATATATTACTTAAGGCCCATACCTTTTTATCATGTTGATTTAGAATCTTGATTTTATACAACTAATAGGGACTATCGACCTAAGTATCTGGTATTAATTTCAACTTATTTGGTCCACCTGTTCCAGAGAAAATCAATGGTGACACACAAACACACAAACGTACAAGAGACTGATCTTATAAAGGTTCCTTTTTATACCTTTTAAAGTACAGAACCCTTTATCATAAATAAAACATTATTTCTTGAATTATAAAATGTAACTGTTTTAATCCTGAGTATAAAATATATAAAGTAAGTAAAGTAACTGTCTGTACATGTCCCACTGCTGGACAAAGGCCTCCTCTGTACAGAGGGTATCAGGGCTTAGTCCACCATGAGGCCCTACTGTGAATTAGTGGACTTCACACATCATCAAAATATTTTCATTTTTGTTATTATTTCAAAAATATGAATGAATGTATGAATGGATGAATACTTTACTGTCCACCAGACATAAAAGGATACACAATAGAGAAACAATTTAATGAAATGCACAATTTGGGGGCCGTATCGCTTCATAGCGATCTCTTCCAGGCAATCAATGGTGTAAAAGAATGTTTACTACGTAGGTGGTGCAAAAGTAACACATAATATATGACTAAATCAAATACATACCAAATACATACATGTGTACACACAGACTCTCATAAGTAAATATTTATATTCATACATACACACATACAAGCCTGTTTCCTCAATGTTTTCCTTCACCATTGAACATTGGATAAGTCAGCACTTAAAATAGACAATTTCATTGGTGCTGGGGATCAAACTCAGTTTGTTCGTGTATATAGAATTAAAGTAGAGCGCCTGGACGTTGAACTATCATGAACTGTATAAAATATACAAAATAATTTTAATTCTATGCAATATCATTTTCTATCTCCTCAAAATAATTCTTTTTTTTCTAGGGAGGCTATACAACTTTCAATAAATCAATAAAATCATCAAACAAGTTTCCTTCGGGGACTGCTTTACAGTTATTTAAAACAATTACGGATTTCAATTTTGTAACATGTCAGTTAAGAGAAAGTGTTGTTGTACAATCAAATGACATAATAATCACTGAGCTACCAGCAATAAAACTGAAATTGTAAGTGTTTCTTAAGAAACTATAAATATTGTAAATGTTTATTTATTTAGATAAATATGTGTATATATATATATATATATATATATATATATATAGTATGTATATGTTTATGTCCATGTTTCTTTATGTTATAAATGCATTGAAAATAAACATATCTATGTACTATATATATATTCAGTTATTAGTATTTATAATGTTGGCAAGAGATAACAAGCACAACAAAATTTATCAGTATATGGCACCCAATAACTACTGGAAAATATTGTAATTAATATGATTTTGTACAAGCTTTTAACTGCAAGCGGTTTATAGTTTTCCAGTATTCTAACACAAATGGGTGGGTCATTCATTATTAAAGTCCATATAATTGTTATATATCTCTTAAACTTTGATTTGACAGAAATGATAATCATTACAATGCAGAAAAAATTTCTGATGCTAATGAATGTATGTTGGACAGAATAAATATAAACATTGACACCATATGCGAAGAGAATGAGCCAAGTGAGAATGTTATTGGCGGCACAAATGTTGCTTCATGGAATAATACACCAACCATTACAAAACTAGAGGTAAGAAAAGTCTATTCCAAAAATAATTGCTTAAGTTTTAGTTGACAGTTATAAAATTTACATGTTCCATAAAATTAGTGAGATTTTAACTTATTAAAGCTTTGAATAGAACTTATTGTGTTTTATTATTTAATATACACATATAATATGTCAGTTCATAAATCACTAATTTTCATGTTATCTTTCACAGTATTTCTCTAAGACTTTTTTCTTATTTGTTTAGATGGGTTCAGCAACATTTATTGGTGCAAAAAATATCCCACGCCCACAGTTCACTTTCAAGGATCCTGTTGACAACTCCGAAAGTCTTTGGGTGCCAAAAATATCAGACAAACCAAACAATATTAAGCCATTAGCTTTAAACATCCTTTATAATGAAGAAGGAGAGGCAGTGGGGTGAGTGTTTTCTTATATGCATCTATATTATACATATCATTTACTTTTATAATATGTCTTTTAAATAATCAATTCAATGGGTCAATCATCCTTAAGGTTTAGATGTAAGTGATAAAAGTGCGTAAAAGCTAATTATGAAGAAATTTAGTCTATTAAGCTATTATTATATCCTATTTACATATTTGCATATTGTACACCTGAATAACATAATATTTTTACCATACTTCTCCTGCATCATAGACATGTCACAACCCTAATTTTAAAATTTATGTTTTAATTAATCATTGATATATATATACTGTAATGTCTTTTCACTCGACTTCCAAAAAGGAGGAGGTTCTGAATTCCATTATATTTTTTATTTATTTTTATGTTTGTTACCTCAGAACTTGAAACTGAGTATACCGATTTTGATGATTTTCTTTTTATTTGAAAGCTGGTGCTTCCCATTTGGTCTCATATCAATTCATTGGAATTGGATCTGGGTTCGCAGAGATACTTATGGAACTCCTGAAAATCAATTATAAAATGAATACAAAGCAAATATTTGAATTCGGTTCGGTTCTTCATTAATAAAAAAAATGGACTTATTAATTATCCTTGTCTTAACTGTTATTATACAAACTATTTGACTAAGATTGTGCAGTGACATATTATTTACTGTGTTATAATGACAATAATATTAAATACATCAGAAAAAAATAAAATACAACATCTTTATTATTGTCTGACTTGTTTACTTCATTATCACCTATAGTGTTTAATTATATTTTTAATACAAAAAAATCTTGAATTTCTCTTTAGTCATACATTTGATTGGACCAATCTAGATCTATGCATGAGTGTTGTTATTCCTTCCACTTGTTACAGAGATTTGTATAATCATTTATAAATGTAAATATAATAATTTTATTATTATTAAGTATGCAATAAGTACCTTTTATTCATCATAAAATTTTAAATAATATTGTGCAGAATACAATTTAATACTAACTATATGATGGTTCAAAATACAAAGAAAACAATATTTCTTTCGCCATTCGAAACAGTTACGTTGTCATGATGAATTTCCAGCTATGAGCATCCATACAAAATCGAATTGGAACTGTATCATCCTCCGTCGAGTTTTATCGATCCCGACCCTGAGCCACCGTCGTTTCCACCACCCTTGGAGAAGACGAAATTGACCTACATAGATACGGAGGCCCAGGTGGATGCTCTCGTTGAACATCTGAACAATGTTAAGGAGTTGGCTGTAGATGTCGAACACCATTCTTACAGAACCTACCAAGGTAAGTTAATTTATATGGTTTTTCATCAAATCATTTATATTATTATTGTTTAGATACGAAGGTTTTAAGAGAGTAATTTCCAATTAAAATTCTTTATAACTTTTTTTTATAGTGCATTATTCTCAATGTATGAGTAATGTAATGCACCAAATCCTTTAACAACTAATGTGACAGACACAGCTCCAATAATATTTGTTAACAATTGTCATTGTGTACATATTTTATTTCCTCAGTACTTTGTTTACGTAGGTGGATTGGCCCAGCAACAGTGTTCAATGTTGCACGAATGGGCGGGTCGGTCCGGGTAAGTACCACGACCTCACGGAAGACCGGCGAAAAGTAGAAGTGTTACACTTCTGCCTTTCGTCTGGTGAGTGAGGTAGCCGGGGCCCACTTTATTTAAAGTGACAAAGCATCTGCAACCCTGCGGGTGTTGCAAATGTCCATGGGCGGTGGTTAGCACTTAACATCAGGTGAACCGCCAGCTCGTACGCCACTTTCTCACATTAAACAAAATGTTTGGGTGGATCACCTTTATGACGTAGGAGTAAGAAAAATAGATTATGGCAGTTTCTCATACCTACCAAATATACTTATAAAATTTCATAAAAATCGATTAAGCCGTTTAATAGGAGTATGCAACTAACATTGTGGCACGAGAATTTTGTACATGTAGATGTACAATAAATATATATAATGTGTATACATAAATACACATTATATATATATTCTTATGGCGAGTAAGAAATTTCATTGTACTCACGATGTGTATATCAAAAGATTTTGCGTAATAAATGTTTCATTATGTTTTCGTAACGTTGGGCTATTGGTTTTTCTCTTCATTTCTCTATTATGCTTCGTTTTTTGCTCATAAAATTTTAATATATAAGTTAGTTGCTTTTTTTGTTCTTGTAAAAACACTACCCTTACTTTAGGATAACATTATCCTGTGTTGTAAGGACGTTTAACAAACATCAATTTCACGTGGACACACACTCAGATGCGGAACAACTATCTGTGGGTCACACAAATAGTTGTCCTGTGTCGGGATCGAACCCACGACCCTCGACGCCGAAGCCAATACTTTAGCAACTGCGCTACGGAGTCAACAATTTTTTTATTTCAATGTTAAGTTATTTATAAATGGAACTAGGTTTGCTTAAGCATGCGTTAACTTTTAAAAATAACCTTACGTAATAATATATTTAAATTATCACGACCGTATATTTACTAAAAAATGATATGATAAATTTACCTACGTATAATGTCTCGGCGCTTTATATAAGAATTGACCATGCTCCCTAAAACTACACTTAATAATTTGGTTAATTTCATCGTAAACAGAAACCTGATTTCGACAGTTCCTTCTTATTGTATGCCATGCGATATATATACTTTTGCTAGTCTCAATCTCTTAGTTTAAAACCTAAAAAAGATTGATTCCCTTTACCTTATCGATCGATCTCTCGTTTCTAATAAAATGTATTTTGCATCACTTTCGCGCAACAATAACGAAATGCTTAGTTTAGATTATTGTTTATTATTATTGTTATTCTGCTGAACGCATCTCGACTGTGACGTATCATTGTGCTGGGCGAACAGATTAAGATGCTGCGTTACCAACAATAATAGCCTCACGGTAACTCGATACCACTGTTGAACTAAGAAATTCGATACCCTGGTCACATAGACTCGCAACTGCTAATAACAACCATGCAAAGCGATTTGTTTCCCCTATCAGCAGTACAAGTTTGTAGATCGTGGTCATGGAGCACTGTATAACGTAGCCTTTTATTTTGTTACAAGAAATATTACATCTGTTTAATACGTAAATAGCATTGGGATGGGAATGGTGATAACAAGTACCTCTTCATTTATGTAACGCTCAAGGAAGCATCTCGACAGTTGGAGGATAAATTGATACAAATATAACTGGCACGTGCACGGCGAGATACGCCGCGTCCCGATCCTTTGTCGTGCCATCCGTTAGATCCAATTTAAAAAGAAAACAGGATACAATCGATTCCCGCGCGAGTGCAACAATAGCTTCGCACAATTGTGTCCGCCGTGACCGGGACAAGTGGCGAGGGAGAAATCTATCCGGCCGTGACAGTAGAGTGGCAAATTCTATTCTCAATTGTAGCGGGCGGCCGTGACGCTACCGGCCACCTATAATTTTTCAATCAATGCAATATCAACGGGCAAGGTTGGAGCGCGCGCGTTGCAACGCTGCCGGAGTTGCATACGCCGTGATATTTGCTTCGCGTTTTTTTTTTCCACGCGATCTGCTCGCCCTATACTGGATGAATGCTGTTGCGATTTTTTTACCAATGACGCCTTCGAATATTTCTTTGCGCTAAATTAGTTTAGTCAGATTTGCACCTTTTAGTTTATATTTTCATATTATCTAATGGCGATATGTGCAATGTGTACAATGCTATGTTATGTACGCTTATATGCGAAACAATCAAACAAGCGATCTTTAAACTCTAATTATTTCTTATTTGCGATCAATTTCATATATTCAAATGGTTGATTAATTTTTCAGGCATTACGTGCCTCATACAGATTTCGACTATCGAAGGCGATTTTATTATTGACGCTTTGGCAGTACGTCAACACATACACAAGTTGAATCTGTCGTTCACTGATCCAAAGAAGGTCAAAGTAAGTATGAGATCAAAGTAAGTATGAGATCAAAGTGGTTATGAGATCAAAGTGGTTTTAGCGCATCAATTGTAACGTTACCGATTTATCTTTGAAATCATTAAATGAAACCGATAAAACTGCAACTGCTCAGGGCGAATACTATTTGCATTGAGTAACTGCATTAGTAAAATATACTTTACATTATGTTACCAAAATTGGGTAATACCTGAAATCATTTAATAATCTGAGCTGTCTTTTTTTATGTGAGAAATTGTCAAACGAGCCGGCGGTTCACCTCATGTTAAGTGATAACCGCCGCCCATGGACATTTGCAACAACCGTAGAGTAGCAGATGCGTTTCCATCTTTTAATATAGTGGGCCCCGGCTATCTCACTCACCAGACGAAACGCAGAAGTGAAACACATCTACTTCACGCCACTCTTCGGTGAGGTCGTGGTACTAACACGGACGGACCTCCCCATTCCACAATGTGATAGGGCCGTTTCACACGAATAGTTGATGCAATGTACTCGGCTCACTCGTGGATCCTACCCGTTTTGTCTCGTTTAGGTATCCAAACCCACACACGACGTGCACTAGTCATATGGAAGCACCGTGAAAGTGACAGAAGAATCATCTGGAATTCTAGAACATTTTAAAAAGAAACATTCAAGCCCAATGGTCTATATTTACAATATAAGAGACGGTTTTATGCATGTTTCTTTGTTAGTCCAGCCTAAACTTGTAGAAAAGGATATTATAGACATGATTGTCGTTACTTTCAACGTCATATAAAATATCTAAAAACACACTGTCACGCTTTTATACGGTCTACGCCATGTAAAGGTAAAGGCGTCTCCGAATTTAAATTGATATAGTTTATGCTCGACTACAAATCTACGAAAGTGTCTCAGTGGAAGCTTACTTCTGAATTGACGATCCATGCTTATGAGACGGAAAGACGGACGAAGTGATTTGTGTTTTATGTGAATAGCAAGCGAGCAGGCGGTTTACTTTAGATTAAGTGTTAACCGCCCCACATACAAATCAACTGCCTAACAGGTTGCAGATGAACCTTTAAAAAAGTGAGCCCCGGTGACCCCAATAAATCTGGTGCACTCATTTGCTTAGATATGAGTTATGAGGGGAAACTTTTAGTTAGAATGCGGTGCAAAGCCGGCATCAAAACCAACAGCTGAGTAGTGCAATATTCCTCTCCTCTAGGTATCCAATAAAATACAGACAGGAAATTAACAATCTTAAACTTATAGATTACTTAAAGAAATTTACACGCGAACGTGTTAGTGCTTCCATGGCTTCTAAAATCAAGATGGTTCGAATAAAACAACCAAAAGGGTGCCTTTTTCGGCGTATAGGATCTTGGGCTCCGGAGCTACGAAAATCAATTATGAAATGAATACGGATAGCGAGATATTTGAAGTCGGTTATTTTATTTCGTTAATAAAAAAATTACTTATTTCATAATGATCATCATCATCACTTCAGCCTGGTTCGGTCCACTGCTGAACATAGGCCTCCCACACACACGGCCACAATCCTGAGCCATCGGCATCCATCGACCTCCCGCACATTTGCACAAGTCCCACCTAGTTCATCCTACACTGCGACGGCCAGTACGAGGCTCGAGCCCTTTTCTTCTCCGTCGGTTATCGGGTCTATAAGCTATATGACCGGCCTATCGCCACTTCAGCTTATGAGTTATGTCGGTTATCATTGTTCTACTGCGGACATCTTCGTTGCGAACTCTATCACGCAGATAAATACCGAACATAGCCCGCTACGTACCTCGCTAAGCGACTTTGAGCTTCCCCATACGGCCAGCATTGAAGCCCTGTTTTTTGTTAGCAATATGTAAATATTTATATAGTCCACTATAACACATTATTGCGCATGATAAAATCCTCGAAAATCTCAAAAAGACATGGAGTGGCTAGGAAGATGAAGAATAACGGACATATTAATTAACAAGCGTGTACGACGACTCCATAGAGTAAGCAACTCGTTCATGAGGCGGTGTAAACGCTTTTACAACAAAATTCCAGTAAATTCGCACAACCTGCCTATTGCCTATTAACAGGTTTAAGAAATTTATTAAGAAAAGGTAAACTTTATAAAAAGGGTTATTATAATACAAATTAATACATTAATGACAATAACCCCTGGAAATGAGTTGATCGCTCCCAAGCTGTTTCTAAAAAGGAAAAAAAAATCAGTTGTATATTTTAATTTTTTTTTAAAGAAAATACAATGAATTACAAAAAAGAGGATACCTAGGGAGTTTCTTTCGCCTGTTTCTTCTCCGCCTGTTTCTTCTCCGCTAGAGGAACCTCATTACGAAACGATGGTAGATAAAAAAATATGACTATCAATAGATTTATTACATTTCGTAAGTTTCTTATGTCGATGAATAAATGATTTTGATTTTCATTCTCTAGGTTTTCCACGGCGCCGAAATGGATGTACTGTGGCTGCAGAGGGACTTCGGTGTCTACATAGTGGGCTTGTTCGACACGCACCAGGCCGCTAAAGCTCTCAAAATATCCGGCCTCTCCTTGAAGAGTCTGCTCATGCGATACTGCAAAGTAGACGCCGACAAGAGGTGAGAATGTCACAGACTTCAATAGTTAATGTCGGCGATATTTGCTAATGGAGACCGATTACTCCTCTTACACTGACCAATGACATAACAGAACAGTTATTCACAATAACGATGAGGTATTTTCCTTGTAGTTCAGTTTCATTATTTTTCAAATCAAATTATTCGAGTGTTATGGTATTGAGCAATAGTTAAGGTGTAGTGAGCTTTGTCTCCATATCTAAACAATTTAATGCAATTACACCAATATTTAATTATTACCACTGTTCTTGCATTACTTTTACTTCACCCGTAGTAAAAGTTACAATTTATATTGCTTTGGCTATAAAGTTTTTGCTTATGTTAATCACTATAATAGACTACACAAGTTCAATGAATATGAATGAATATACAAGAGCAATCACACTTTATTATGCACTAGTTGTATTTTTCTTTCAGCATTTGAGTATGTAACATTTAGCATTACAGCTGTCATTTTTACACTAAATAATTGTAATTGTATTTATTGTAGGTAAATTTCATGTTACCTTATGGTATCTTTTCAGTTATATTTTTTGTCTCTAGCGGTTTAGCATTCGTTGATCAAATTTAAAGAGTGAATTTGATTTCTTATTTTTATATATTTTGAAAGAAGTCAAAATAAAAAGAAAAATTCAAATAAATTAAGTACCAGACATCATACAACACCCATTTAACAATGTTAATATATGTACCCATTTAACAAAGTCATGCAATGTTAATATATATACCCATTCAACAATGTCATGCATTGTTAACATATATACTATATTAGCAGAATTTTTACTATCACCAAACAGGCAACTTAATTATAAAGAAATAACAAACCTTGTTTCAGTTGAATGTCAATAGTCAACAAGCAGGAATAAACAGTTTCTGAATTGACAAAATTGCGGCTCAAAGATCAAATAGAACAATGCAGACTTTCATCTGTATGCTACTTTTTAATATTTGCATTAACATTTGATGTTTTCTACATTTTTCTACATATTATAGAGTTTTTTTTGTCATTGTCATATTTAAACAAGATTTTTTTAAATAGCTTGAATATATAAGCATGTAATATTTTTATTTTCATTATTTTATTTGAAAACCTAAATAAATTTTTTAGCTCACACTTGCACTGGCTTTCGGATAAACATTTTATTTTATTACATATGTAAGAAATATCTTATTTCTTTAAAATTCAGCAGATGATATACTTATTTTTAATAAAAACTACATCAAAATATTTGACCCAACTAGATGTTACTTTGTTTAAAGTTTCCATTTAGCAGGTCTCGTCTGTTTTATTTATATTCCAGAATAGTATTTAGAATTTCCGTGAATAATTTGCAATGCATCTTTATGCTCAAATCATATCACAAATTTTTTTTTTTCATTCATAATAGTGGTCAAATCATGATTCTGAAGCATCATCAACATTAAGTAAGAAACAGAACTCTGAACCAAAGACTAGTACAATGCTGACATCAAAAGTGTTTTGTCCATGCTAATGGGTTGGATGTAAGCTCACCTCCAATCATATAACTGATCTTCTGATGTTCATTTGTACATATGACACATACATATGAGTCAAGCTATGGATTTAGTTATTCATGTGTCGATAAGAACATGAAGGGCCTCTTTCGCAATCTACAAGTAAAGTGTCAAGTAATAATCATCACTTAAAGGCATATGTAACTCCTCGTACGAATTTCACCATGTACTAAGCACTAACCAAGGGTTAAACTAGTCAGTAACTTACTTGCTACTACATCTGCCATTGTCAGTAGGCCTTTTTGTGTTTAGTAACAATGATAAAAATGGAAGTGTTTGATTTGACTGATCACCAATTAGATTAATTTGAATGTTCTTCGATGCAAATATTATAAAACATAAAATAATTACCTAAAAACATTTCAATGATATAAAAAACTTTTTAAAACCAAGCTTTTGTTTAATTGCCCAAAAAGAAAGAAAATAAAATTTTAATTAATTAATATTTTTTGGACGAATGTTACTTGGAGCTTGGATTTAGTTTGTGAAATTGATAAGTGATACCTGTGACTTTTACTTGCCAATTAGCTTTACTTACCAACTAACTAATCAGGGGTTTACTTGTAGATGGTGAAAGAAGCCCATAGAGTCTAGGAATAAACTTTCAAGAGGGAAATAAACATTCAACCTCTGCAATGTCAGCTTGAGTCAGTGCCAGAGTCAGTGCATGCCATTTCATCAATCATCTACGATGCGATTCGTAGAGCTATAAATGTTATCTGTAGAGTTGTGCACTGTAGGGTGGGTTAATTTATAATGGTTATCACTGCAGGTACCAGCTGGCGGACTGGCGCATTAGACCTCTGCCCGACGAGCTCATCATGTATGCACGTATGGACACCCACTATCTACTGTACATCTGGCGCAAGATGAAGGAGGAACTATTGGAGGCCAGCGCCGGCCAGCCGCGCCTGCTGCTCTCTGTATTCGAGCAGAGCCGCCAGATATGTGGAGTGGTGAGTATAAGAAGAGTTACATCCACATTCGGAGGCTACATTTAGCGCATAGGTAGTATCAGATTTTCAGGTGGTGCCTTATTTATGAAACATATAACGAAAAAAAAAAACAAAATGTATAAATCTAAAGTAATTATACTTTTTAATTACATCTGGCACATCAGATATAACCATGTGTTCCAAGAGTGGCATTCATTTACCATCCAGTGAACCACCTGCTTGTTTCTGCCCTCTGTCATAAAATAATAAATACTCATACTTACTAAGAAATATCAATATGTTGGACTGGCCCATATATCAAATTGAATTGAAATTAATCATGTTATTAAACTCCGAATTGTTGGGAAGTTATCTTTGTAGTGTAAAGTAAATTTTCTGAGGAAACCTCTTGTATTTGAACTTCAACGATTGGTGCAGGGAATCTTTCATATGTTTTTTTTTTGTGAAAAGTGCCAAGCCGAGTGAGCTTCACTTGATGTTAAGTGAATACTGCCGCCCATGGACCATCTGCCACACCCGAGGATTGCAGATAGGATTGACAACTTTTTGAAATTTGGGCTCCGGCTCTCACACTCCACACTCACCAGGCGAAACACGAAAGTTTTATACTTCCACTTTACGCTGGTCTTCTGTGAGGTCGTGGTACTTATCGGACGAGTCTGCCCATTCGTGCAACAGCTGCTGTGTGGCTCTACCACAGGAATGTTCACTGTGAAAAATAACTGCACGTTAATCGTTTTCTTTTTTAAAAATTCACCACTTTATGCCCTTAACAGACCTACAACAAAGAGGTGGTCCACGAGAACAGCCACCTCAGGCTCTACGTGCGCTCTAAGAAGTCGTTCAATACACGCCAGATGGCGGCTCTCAAGCTACTCTACAAGTGGCGCGACTCTCAAGCGAGGGTTTTGGACGAGAGTACCACGTGAGTCAAACCACTGTCGTTTTTATTTTTAATCAACATACATATATGGTATTACTGGTTTGGACAGCTTTTGCCAGATGTTATAAATGTGAAATACTGAATATACTTTTGAGTAATTTGAACGCTCTCGTACTTGGCAACCAGTGGAGATAATTATGTAATTTCTATTTTTCGTTTATGTTTTAAATTTATATGGACATCATTATAATTGAATTATTGAATGGACCAAGTGCTATAAAATCAAATACTCTTATAGCCACTAAATATGTCATAATATAATTAATTACCTTCCGACAATATACTGTATAATTCAAATGCATAATTGAAATAGTTTTCAATCAATACTTGAAAATTATGATTGTTTTCCATATGTTGACTAAGAGTGTATAGAGTTAATCTAAATTATAGAACTAATCAACACTAATATACATTTGTTTACTGAGTAAGAAATTCATTTCCATAAATTCTGTCGTCTGTAAAGCCATAACGTTCATCTAATGAAGACTGTAACAGAATGTTTTGATATGTTCTGTTACCTGATTAAATATAGTACAAAGATAAATAATTTATAAATAAAATTCATATTTTGTTTATGTTCGAGTAGTTGCCCTTTGACATGCGGTATGATAAAGTTTTCTAATTTTCAATTTACTTGTTACAACAGATATCTAATGCCGAACCACATGCTCCTGGCGCTCGCCGAAACGCTGCCGCGTGAAATGCAAGGTGTGAACGCTTGTTGCAGCCCAATGCCGCCATTTGTCAAACAGAACATGATGATCATTCACAGAATGCTGCTCTCGGTGAGTACAAATCAATTTCTTTGTACAACAAAAAAAAGTTTATATAACTTAGTAGTCAAAGTATTATTTGCTGATTAAGTATTAATTGCTGATTGTCAGGGTTTAAATAACGAGACTACTTGTTAATGTACTCCCCTCTCCTCAACACACACCATTCCATTAGTTTTTTGCCACTACTCAAATCAATTCTAGAAATCTTTTGTCAGCACAATCTCTGTCGATTTTAGTTTTTTTTTATGGCAGAAAGTGACAAACGAGCTAGCGTTGTGGTACTTACCCGGACGGATCCGCCCATTTGTGTAACAGCAAACACTGTTGCGTGGCCCTACCACAGTTTACTGACTTGATTTAGATAACAAGGAAAAATTAAGGCTAAATCAGGCGAGACCAGTGTTCGAGGACTGATGTGCCTTTAGCAGCTAAATAATGCTTCAGAGCCAGCGCGTTACGGCCATGTGCGTTGTCCTGGTGCAAGATCCAACAGTGCGGACGTTTTTTAAGGAATCGTTCTTAGTGTTGCCAAAACTATTGAATAGAAAGTTTAATTTACAATCATAGACCCTATTCAAACATCACGATGGCGTTCATGCCGAAAAAAAAATTTTCCTTAAATTTTGATTTGAACATCCTTGTTTTTTTTTTCATTCTTAATGATGCAGGAGTTTTCCTAGCATGGATTATTGTTTCCCATTCAGGCCCATCAGCTCTCAAAAAGTAGTAGAAAAACTAGCTATTACCATTAACTACTTGATTCACATGTCGTACCGACCCCACCTGGGTGGAATAAGGGTCGGAAATAGAGAAAGAAGAAATCAAATATACTATGAACATATTATTGTTGTGCTTATGATTATTGATCGTTTTTGTTCCAGTGCCGCGAGTTGCCTCTGGAGCCGCAACTCTTTCACATGCCGCAGAGTATCAGGAACATGGTCACTGTATCACCCCATCCGCTGATTTCTTATGAGGTGCATGACTTTGCACACTACCCAGAATTCAGGTGCGCTTGACTTTTTATTGTATAGTGTAATACATATGCTTTGTATTTGTCTTTTGTGTGGTAAGGGGTTGGGCTGTAAGTCCCCACTACTGCGACCCAGTAAGATCTATTTCAGTCTTCGTTTCGAAAACATTTCCCCCTTACTATAGGACAACATGGGACATTTACATAGATAAATTTGATGTGGACAAACACCCAGATCTGAAATAACTATCAGTGTGTCACACAAATAGTTGACTGGTGTGGGAATTGAACTCGCGACCCCCAGGATCGAAGCCAATAACCTTGGTAACTGTGCAATAGAGGCAAGGTCGTTACTATGATTACGTTTCTGCACATGAACTGATCAAAACTTCCAGATCTAGACAAAGTTGTCCTTATATTTTTTGCAGTCTTTTTTAGTTTTTAATGGAGGTTTAAAGTATGATATATGAGGAGGTAACAAGACCTGTTTGTTTATTTTTTTAAACTTACATTTTAGTCTTTTCACATTGTATAAAGTTATTTTCCGCTTATCTAAATAATTTTTATGTTTTTTTCTTAAAATTAAGCAATTTTTTTACCCCTTATCTTGGTAGAATTATTAAAAATAAGGTATTTTTAAATAATTGTGTATGTATTTTATACTTTTTGTACAACTTCATAAATTCCTTACAGTGAGGATCAACCAATTAATTTGGATCAAGCCTCGGAGTATATTGAAAATTGCAATGAGCTCAACCCTGATATTGAAGCTTTCAAGCCGACATCTGACAGTGAGACAAATAGCACTGTAGTAAGTATGATGTACCTACAGCATAAATAAAACTAAGTCAGTCGGGCAATACAAAGAAATCTGCAACAAATTATGTTGTATAACAATGATTTATCTTTACAGGTATCCAAACTAAATGTCGACGCAAAACTATTCATTCCACCATACGACAGATACAGGAAGTACCGTTCTCTCGCCCAGGTGAGCTCTTCGCGTTAATTTATATATGCCATGAACGTTTCGCTAACTATTGAATTGTGGCAGCTTGGAACGCTTTTTCCTAACACTGGAGGTAATTATAATAAAAATATGAAAGAGGGAAATCCATTGATACTGGTGGTTCCACCACATAGTTTTGGCACTCATCACCTTTATCAGTGTTACGCCCAACATACAAAAATCGTACTTTATTGCTGTTTTGTTACTGTGTCGGTCTAAATGTTTGAACTTGTGGCAAATCACGTTTGTGATTGCGTAAACACTGCTTTATTGCGACGGAGAAATTGTTTGTACACGTTGTTATTGGATACGGCGACGGTTTTTGTACGCATTCTTAATTGTGTTTTTCCTCAGCTGGAGGAGATCAAGGAGTACAAGGAGAAGGAAGCCAAGATCACCGCCATCGGCAAGGGCAACGAGCTGATCAAGAGCGAAGTGCTCGTGAAGCTGCAAGAAGCAAAGGCGCTCGTGGAGGCGGAAGAGAGGAGCGATGCAGACAAGGCGCCGGAGGACGGCGCCGAGGCAGAACCCGACGAGGGCGGCACGCAGAAGACCGCCCAGCGCAAACGGAAGATATCCTCCGACAAGAGGGAGCGCAAGGACTCCGTCGCCGAACCGGCGAAGGGGGGCCAGACTCGTGAACAGAACAAGCCCAAGAACAACACCAACCAGCAGAACAAGATGAAGAACAAACCCGAGCCGAAGCCAGCCGTCGCCCGCTTCAACTACAAGAACGTGAACTACAGGAAGCTGTTCAACGAAAACGAGAAGGCGCTCAAACAGCCGAAGATGAAGTTTAAAAAACATAAATAAACGTAATGAGCATTTCTTTTTAAGCGAAAACACATATTATATTAATTTCTTTTATTTATTTTATTGGTTTTATTTGCGCAAACGCCGCTACATCTAAGCATGCAGTAAAGAAGGGCTAGGGGTTATTATTATTGTTTACCATGTTTTAACCATAAATAATATGTCCATAGCGCCACACCTTACGTGCACACGCGGCGAACGGAAGTGCGCTGTGAAGCGTAATTCACAATTTTCAAACGCGGCCGCCTTATTCGGACACATCCTCGGATATGTCCTCCCTGATCTTGATCTTGTTTTTCACCGACCGGCGACTCGCGTAGCCGGAGTCGTTGCGCTCCTTGACGGCGCCCTTGCCCTCCGCCGCCTTGGCTTTGGGCCGGGCGCGGAACTTGCCCGCCTTGGGCCTGGCCTCCTCTTCCCTGACCTTCAGCTTCTTGGACCTGTGGGCCGTGTGGGCGCGCGCCTCCGTCACCGGCGCCGGCTTGCCCTCGTCGTCGCCGCTTATTTCGCGTTTCAGCGCGCTCTTGAACGTCTGGCCCCGCGTCGGCTCGTGCAGCGAGAAAGTGATCCTGTCGTGGTGTATCTGCAATGTGGCGTGTAAGCGGTGTTATCATTCGTTTCGTTCGCGATCGGCCAGCGGTCGATCGGCGCTGGTGTATGCGCCCCTCATAAGAGTTATTGTTAGTGGACTAGGATAATGTATTGCATGTATTTTCTCACCCGGTATTCGATGGTTATGTAGCACTCCTCCTCGTCCTCGCATATGAGGGAATTGACGTCGGCTGGCTTCGCGGCGTTGGCTGGGCGACGGCCGACCCGGTAGAACCGCCACAACGAGCGGATCCGGGGGCCGCAAGCTCGTACCATTTCGCTCACCTGACGATTTCGAACCATTGTTAGTTTTAAGACGTAACGGCCCTTTTTCGTTTCCGTTGATTAGCTCACCGTTTCGTATGTAGTACCTTTGTTCTTTTTACTGTTTTAAGTGTTCTCAAATATGAAATCTATAATTGATATTTGCTCAAGTAGACGTTCAGCGTTTATGAGAGTCGATTTAAACATTACCAAATTCATAATTCATCAGCGTATAAAATTCACTCGTGCATAATTTGACATCGAACTTTGTTAAAACTCACCTTTGTAACTATTTAAGCTCAATGAAAAGTGAATGTCATCGTAAATTTGTTACACGGTTTTGCGTTAAGAGGCGTTCGCATGTCTCCTATTTATCTTTATATAAATTTTTAGCCAGTCTATTCCCTTAAAAATAAATTCAAACGAGATGAACGCTTATTGCAATGTCCGTTTACTATTTTAAAAATGCTTTTGGAAGAACTTAATTCGGGCCAGTAGTATATAGAATATATATTTAAGATCTGTAGCTGTCTTACTCTGTACTGAAATACACAATGCTTTTAAACATTAATTACACGTATTTTTTTTTTTACTAATCTTAGCATCTCACCTTCATTTGCTCTCCGCCATCACAAACACCAGCTCCATGGGGCTCTATTCCGAAACTGTTTATGCAAGCACGATCCTCCGGCAACAACGAATCGATCTGGAAGGCGCATTTGGGAACACCGTCCGTGCGTTCCTGTTTTGATTAACATTGAAAATATTTATAAACCATTTCCATATTATTATTTTTTATTTCATTAACAAAGACAATAACAATAGAAAAATTAGACGATTATAACAAATTAAATAACAATTCGACTTCAAATAGACGAGAAAAATTCATTAAATAATGGATATACATAAATGCTCTTATTTCCGTCTTTATTGTTTGCGAGTTCGATATTTAGCAGATTAAAACTCACAAATATTAAAATTCTCAACTCGAAACTAAAATCTCCATTTGTAAAATTAACGAATCAAATACTAGTTAGTAGATTTGATATTCGATACTGGTGGTAGGTTTGATTCATTTCTTTATCCGTTCTCACACAATGATGTCAGTGAGGATCAATCATATAATATCACTGTTTCTTACTCCGTTTCGACACCGCCACGAAGTTATTTAAAATTTATCAATTTTTACTATAAAATGCTTTTATGATGTTCACAATTGAATGAAGATAGTATGTATATTCTAATTTTTTCGTCAAATTGAAACTATTTTACTCACCCATCCGACATCATCACAGTGTTTTGGTTCGTCGTAGCAAATGTAATAGTTAGTCGCTTTCGAACCATCTTTTCTCTTTTCCGTCGACCAAGTGTACCAGTTTTCTCCGAATTTAAACATGCTATTTATATGAGCCTGGCGATATATCAACGGGAAGATCATTTCATTTGGGTGCAACTGTCTCGTAGTTTTTTCCGTCGTTACTTTCTCTTCTTCATACTCTACTTGTTTTTCTTCGGTACGACGGGAGTGCCTTAGAAATGGTAGAAGAGTAACATCTCTCTTTTTATGGTCCCATGACTCCGTATGAGATTCCTCTTCCTCCACTCTCGAGTCTTCTTGTTCCGAATGTAGGACAACTTTAACTTTGACCGAGATGACGGAATGTAGCAGGCAAACGAGGATCACGGCGCAACGTCTCATTTTCGAGAATAACTGTGGTTTGACGCTGCACACTCTAGTACAGGCTTATGTGGATGTTATCCGCAGTAAAGGATGTTGATACATTAAGCCAATCGATAAGACGAAAGTTTATAAATATAGTCACATTCAAAACACGCTCATAGTAAAAAGGTAGGTAGTTCTTTTGCTTAGACGTAGTCTTTTATTGCTGTTTTTTTGTCAGTACAATTGAGAAAAGTGTTATCAATTTAAATCCATGTTCTTCATTTTCAACACGAAAGTATACACAACACTAAGGTATACACGTCGTAAGCTCTTCCTCCATGTAAGTAATTAATGATCGTGAGTAATTCAATATAATAAGGTTTTTTTACATATTAAGGCTTAGTCACGGGGCCTTGTTTTCATTGTTTTATTTACAAAGTTGTTGTAACAAAAATGCCTATAAATTAAATTTACGAGCTCATCTCGAAAAAAGTATGCATACCGCCACGTCCTATATAGTATATTAAAATAATCGTATTTACAAGTAAGTTCATTTAAAAGTACGGTTATAAATAACAAATTGTCGACTATTCCAACTCTATATTTCCTTACATTTTAATTGAACTAAATTGGAATACGCTATTCCTATTTAAAAAAATCATTCTGTTTTAGAAACTCTTCATTATATTTACAATTTCAGATGTCGCATAAATGTAGACGAATGTTTAAAATTATATTTATGGTTTCTATCAAATATAATGATTATTATCAGCCAGTATAATAAGTATAATCAAAGAGAATGGGTGAATTACAAAAAAATCAGCGGTTTGTATCGGGAAACGTTCATGACATTTTGGGTATTCATTTAAATTCACCGATTGCAAGTCTTGTACAATGTTTACACTCATGATTACAGAAGGTAAATCGTGGATTTATTACATATGATACAGCTTGTCGTTACAACCGTGACAATAAATTAACACATATATAGAGGATAGCTTTTTGAAATTGTATTAAGCATTTACATTATTTAAACATCAATATTTACCGGGATATTAAATTTTAAAAAACAAACATTTTTAGAACACCCTTACGTATAAAACTGTAACGTAAGTTCATTTATAAGGGTCACAAAGAATATGAATGGGTTGAATGAATTTAAGAGATAAACATACTCTTAGGAGAGACTTGTAATGCAACGTTGTGTCAACGAATGAAAACGTCTTTGAATGTATGAATCAGTCATTTGTAGTTGTATAGGATGTTACAAATTTTGTTTCTTTTTTTATTAAATTAGTTTGTTTGAAAAATATATTCTTCTACTTACGGATTTTTTTAACGTTTTATATTTTTTATGAATATTGGCAAGTAGCGTTAGACGTGTGACACGCTGTATATGCTTCAAAATTACCAAACGCCTAACAATGGAGAGGCTTAAGATTCCATCATTTTTTTGCACTTTGACGGGATGTGTGGTATTTTATTAAAGTATCAATTTCTTTTTACCCGGCTGTGCCAGAAGGAGGTTTATGTTTTTCGAGAGTATTTATGTATGTATGTATGTATAATTGTTTGTCACGCTCTGCAACCTGAACGGCTTGATGGATTTTAGCCTGATAGGTGTCGTTAGATTCGTACTTACTGTGAGAGTGACACTGGGTGTATCAAAATAAAAAATAACACAGAGACGCAGTCAGGTTTTTTAAATTATATTCTACTTGTTTTAAAATAAAATAGCATCAAAGCTCGAATAATAAAAGTACTTCCCAGACAGAACATCCGTTAACATTTTAGATTACCTTCCTAACAGATCTAATTCGGCACCTTGTGATTGTTGAACTTATACTTTCTTCAACTGTGGTAGGGCCACGCAGCAATCTTCGCTGTTGTATGAATGGGCACGTCCATCCGGGAAGTACAACGGAAGACTACTCACAGAAAACTGGCGTGAAGTGGAAGTGTTATACTTCATTACGTCTGGTGAGTGAGGTAACCGGGGCCCAAGTTTTTGAATTTGACAATGTATCTGCAACCCTACGGGTGTGGCAAATGTCCATGGGCGGCAGTTATCGCTTAACATCTGGTGAAACACCAGCTCGCATGTCAGCTTCTTATGTAAAAAAAAATTTTTGGTGCGTTTGGAGAAATTATGAGAGTAAAGTTTTACGATAAGCACTGAAACCGACAGCGACATGATGAGCTTGGTGGCAAAGCGAACAACTTCACGGTATTACCATGACAACCATTAAGCACTTTTTGATATTTACCCATAATTCCAAGTTATTGAATTAAACCGTTATTTTAATTAAATGCATTTAACAGGATAGAATTTTTAGCTATTTTTCTTTTTACGCTAAAAAGTATAACTTCTTAGGTACACATTAAGTATACACGTTTATTTTAATACATAAAATGATGGGATAAACGTGTTCAAGCCAGAGTTAGCTGATGGTGGTTTAGGCGTTAGTCATTTTGTATGGATGTTGTTTCTTTGACAAACTTTAATAATATAAATCCTTAACCATAATGGTTATTTCTAGATATATTTTCTAGTTGTGCGAATATTTTTGAGAATTGTTAGTCTGGTCTGACGACAATCGTTTATTATTGATGTTCATTTAACTATGTCAATTGAAAAATATTTATTAGCCTAAATAACGTGGGGATAGATAGTGCGTGAATAAATAACAGACCAATTAGATTATTGCCTTTATTCGGGTACAAAGATGTAGAGTATAAAATAAAAATACTGCATTTGGTATCAACCTTTTTTTCAATAAAACTTTGATTATGTAAATTAAGCATTTCGTCAAGTACAAGTTTTACATCTATAAAATAAAATTAAAGCATAAGACGTATTTCTAAACTAATAATTATTTTCATTATCTAAATAGAAATTGTATAATCGTATAGTACAAATAAAAAGCGAGTGAAGTTTGGACCATTGTTAGGAATTTAAAGTTTTCCATAGTGCTCAATATTTTACATCAGCCATAAGAATTCGTATTTACAAGGTACACTATAATTTCGTGATATTTCCTTCATAGCATTAGGGGTAAGAATAGCATCACTAAGGCAGAGAGGGTGTTTTATTGTACATGATTATTATTAGTGCACTAACAGTTTAATCACTAAAGATAGACACCCCAAGGGTTTGAGATTCTTTACAGTACAACACCTTTCGGGGCTAATCTATAAGCTAGACAGTACAACAAGAAAAATAAGGCCAGATTCATAAAGAGTGAACGCGTACTTAAAACTATTATAGTCCTCGTACTTACAAATTAATTAGACCTCTATGTGTTCCGTTTACTCTAGCACATTGGTTCCGTCAGTATTGTGTAAACTAGTGGATCAAATGTATCTAACTTGCAAATTTAAGTCGCTTTCTTACATCTATATACCTAGTGCTAAGTTTATTAGGCCTGAAAATTAAGCCGTTTTAGGTCCACGATGAGAAGAATATGATCTATTGATATAAACTATAAGCTTCCGTTCAGGAATCGGACGTTGGCAGCCCCATTCCCGTACTATCCATTTGCGACAGACAAAATTCGCAAAATTGCCAACTCCAACATAGCAAACTACGGAAAATAGACAAATCTCATCTATCACGTAATACTCCTAATATTCATTTATAATAGTAGTAATATTTTTTTAAATAATTCCTTCGATTCAAATGCGCAATATCACTAGAGAACTTACTAATATCCACTCACTTATGCTTCCCGTTGAAATGTATATGAAAATAAATGACTATCGAACATGGTAACTACCCTAATAGAGTCTACCCTAATAGAGTCAATGGTTGCAGAAATGGATGTGGAAAAACGTAGTAATATCGGCTCACTATGTCTATTATACGTAGCCCGCTCGTGAAAATGTTTACGCGGTTGGAACATCGACACAAAAACAAACACACTGGCAACGCGAAACCCTCTGATATCTGATAAGCTCGGCTTTTCGTTGGCCAATGGTACGTGCAGCAACGCACGCCTCAAACGAGCCCTGACTAATTGCATCACTATTATTAACAAATCCTATTTAATAAATCCCCATAGGTTAAATGATTTTCCACGAAGAAAGCCTCGGAATCATTAACTCGCCCTAAGTCTAACTACGAACCGTAAGACGAACTGTGTAAAAAGTTCGCAACAGGCGCGCGCTCGCTCTGCAACATTCCATTGTTAATTACGCTGGAATTAATCAGTCTGTAACAGAGATCAAGTTTCTCTGCCGTCAAAGCGCAAGAATTTACCGTAACCCAAAGGAGAACGCAAACTCTGCTTCGCGGCCGACATTGAACCTAACGGATACATAATCAGTATCATAATCAATCCTAACTAAAACTAACTATCGCACACCTCTATAAGCTACGCTGGAAAGCGGAAGAAGTGTGGGAGGGGGGGCGAGGGGGGGGGGGGGGTGTTTTAAAGCTTTATTATAAATTACCCTACTAGTTTCGACGTGAAAATAACACCTTAATAACAGGTTACAAGATTGTAAACTTATACGTTAAAGGTGTCTTTGTCCACACCGATCGGTTACGTCTATATTATTAACAACTAATTCGTAATTGTGAGTATTAGAAAACAGTTATAGTTTTCTATGGCTATTTCAGTTTCTTTATCATTAAACAAAACAAAACCGCGCCCTTTTCACTCACTAGTACGGACGTGTTGTTAGAAAGGGAAACCAACCTAATTAAGAATATAAATCTAAAGTGTATCCACAAGAAACAGAGAGATACGACAATAATAATTGGACTATATAATACAACATCATAAGTAACAGGCACGTTATAAACAATAATTAACTACATCGCATGGTTTATTGTATCATAATTTGTTCCTTATCTGTGATTTAAAGTAGTGGTACATAAATAACATTTAAATTGACTAATTCGAAATGCATATATAAAACCGTATATACTATAATTTATTATATCTCTCCCTAAAACCATATTAATACTGCGACATAGAAATTTATTTAATTGAAACTATATATTTATTGCAAACATTACAGGAAGTTGTAGCATACTTCGTATTGTCGAATAAAAACACACCTTTACAATTAACACGGTAATAACACACATGGAGTTCGTCTCATTGAACATTGCAATTTCACATTTTATATATATATATATATATATATATATATATATATATATATATACGATCATTGCATGAGTCCATATTGTTTATATTTATAGTATAATATATTTTCACGTCGATTATATCTATTTACTGTTATGTTTGCGTCCGTTTGGTTCATGTCCGAGAAGGATTGCAGCTCCATAAGTGCGAACTCCGTATCCACACTTTGTTAACGCTAACCGTTGATTAAACAATAGCTGTGACTCTATAGACGTGAACGGATACAAGCATGAAAAAAAAATCAGTTTTAGTGTTTATTCGTGGGGAATAAAGCTTATTTTACATTGATATGTAAGGGCGCTGACTAAACATAGTACAAAAATATAACAATAATCAGATCGACGCTTATCTCATAAAACACTGCGTTATTTTAGTATTCGTATAATTTCGAGTTAAACACTTATCAGTACAACCATAAAGCGCTTAATGTTAGCGCGTTTGAAGATATTACTAGAGTAAAGAAAACAACGACCAATATCATGAAATCTCCATTGATACATCTCATTTCTTGCCCGCCTATAGAGTCACACACCAATTTTTAACTTTAGACTTGCCATCACCGTTCTCTTTCTTACATTCGTTAATAAATCTGCCGACTGGGAATGAATATATCCACAACATTTTATCCGACTTTAACTTTAGTCTAGATTTAAAGCTTGCAAGTGACAAGGACAGTCCATAACAGCTCGTCCGTAATGTGTCGATGCACTACGACACTCGACTTAAAGCTACAAATCTGGGGTCGCGTTTCGCAAGTCGAAAGGGCCCTCCATACGCCGAGACACTTAGATCTAAAAGCACGCCGCAAGTCTAAAGGCGAACTTGGTACGGCGCCGGCGTCTAGAACCTGGTCACTTGGTAGTCGTCGCCGTGCCGGGTGGGGCGGCAATGGGAACGCGCGCGCCCCCTTGCGCCGCCCCGGGCGGTTCGCTAGTAAACCGTGCCGGGGTGCAGCGGGCACGCGCCGCGCCAGCATCACGTGGCCGCGTAGCCCTTCCGCTGCAGGAACAGGTGGATCTCGGCGAAGGCGGGCCGCTCGAGCTCGTCGCGCCGCCAGCACTCGCACATCAGCTCGTAGAGGTCGCGCGGGAGCCCCGGCGAACGCTCGATGCACTCGAACAGTCCGTCGTCCGCTTGCAGGTGCGACAGATTCTCGATGACCTGCAACGCGGACGCGTTAAGTTCTTGTGCTCGACGAAAATCGATTAGCTCGTGTCTACTCGCTAGCCTACAAGAGTACGAGATCCTGTTTCCTGATTCATATTGTACGCTAGGATATTTTATAGATCTTGGGCCTCCATTATATTTATGGAGGATAACGCACTGGTCGCATTGTGTAAATATCTACTTCAAATTTTAAATCGGGATACATCAGCACACATTAGCCTCCATTAGGTAGGCATCAGTTCTCAGCGCGATGCATCGGCATATACAGATGCGCCGAAACATGATGATACATCGGCGCACATCGTGTTGCGGCGTTACGCGTCGCTATGTGTTGCGGCACATCGGTGCCGGTCGGCTCACCTCGCTATCGGTGAGGTGCTCGTAGGGCCGCCGCCTGCACAGCGTGAAGATCTCGTGCAGCGTCACGGCGAAGGCCCACACGTCGCTCTTGGTGGTGTAGTGGCCGCGCAGTAACGACTCCCAGGCGGCCCAGCGCAGCGGCAGCGGCACCCGCCCCTCCACCTTGTGGTAGTCGCACGCGTACGCCTCGTTGTCGGTACCGAAGTCGCTGATCTTTATCTGGTAGCCCTTGCCGATCAAGCAGTTCCTGTTCCGCGGAACGTACCATAATAAGGACAAGCAGTTATGGGACCGTTTGAATTTCACTAGGATGCAATCGCGACCGCCTAATAAGCTGCGATGTATCGAAAGGTCTGGACCTTTCGATAGAAGTCTGGACTTCTCACACAGTAGACAAATAATACATAGCGAACCAAAAACAATCGATGAACCCATGAGAATAGCGGCGTTTATAGGACATAACATGATTTGTTTCATCTCGTGATCAAAGTGTATCCGAAAACACAAACATAATAAATTGTTATTTACCCTCACGTAAAGCAAGCCCTACCCAGAGATATGATACGGGATTATAAAAAAACTCCACGGCATCAGGCGGACCTACGGCAGAGTGCTACTGGCAAAACCGTCCCGCATAATGAACGGTGGCGAGCGGCAACCCTGGAGGCGCGAGCGAAACCGCACACCCGCCGCGCGTACCTGGCGGCGAGGTCCCTGTGCACGAAGTTCAGTGACTCCAGGTACTGCATGCCGGCCGCTATCTGCGTCGCTATATGCAGCAGCGTGGCGGCGCTCGGGGGCGGGGCGTTCCTCAGGAAGGCGCACAGGTCGCCCAGCTCGAGGTACTCGAGCACCACCGCCAGGGGCGGGGTGCGGCAGGCGCCTAGGACGCGCGCCAAATGCGGCGACGAGAGCGCGGCGAGCACGCGCACGTCACGCTCGAACTCCTCCCTGCGTGACACCTCCAATCAGAGAAGCGCGTCAAGGGGAAACGGCGGCAGGGAAATCGGAAAGACGGCGCGGCGAGCGGCTCGACCGTTCGAGTTCGACGAGCGGCGCGACGAAGCGTCCGGCGATTCGTGAATGCGCGTGCACGCACGCTCGACGTGTTACGCTATTATTGGTTCCTTGCATTCGCCTTCACTCTCGTTGAGGCAAACAGCGTTATTCATAAAATTGTACCCGAATCGTTTAATGTGTGACCGTAAGAAACAAGAAAAACAAATTATGGTGATACTATTTTTCTAATGATTGAAATTGAAAAAAAAAGTCCCATTACCAGTTGGAACAGCTTAAATTCAAACTTTTATGTTTTGTTTAAAATATATTCACAATATTCTGATTCTAATCCCGCTGATCACTTAATCCTAAACGGATAGAAAGGTGAAGGTGAAGAGAAGAAAGGTGATAGTAAAAAAACTGCTATAAAACCACTTCATACATGATGTACCTCTCCTTCGGCGAGGCGTCGTGACACAGAAACTTTACCGCAACCAGACGCTTCTCCGAGCTAATCGTGCCGTTATACTCTGGTACCCCATCGGCCTCAGCTACGTACACCTAACGGATAAATGTTTCATTTAAATAAACGTATAGTTAAGTACATAATTAACGTACAAATTTAATCAATTCCAATATGAACACATCTACCTTTCTTACATTTTGTAACATGCATGAACATGATGTTTATTGATTATATTTTTTTTTCTATTCAAACGACAACTAATTAATACTGTCCAACATAAACGCTGTTAATAAATGTTATAATATAATAAAATGTGTAATATTAATACTATACAAAGTGACTGTTGGAATTTATTTACAAGTGTAGTAAAAGTAATGTGTTAATAAGTTTGGAAGGGATAAGTCCTTCACCAAGAAAATATTAATTTATAATAAATAGACAACCGAAAAATTTCTGTTGAGGATTAGAATGTGCAGGGGGTTTTAGTACTTAAATAAAAAATAATGTAAAACAATAAAAATTCAAATTACGAATGACGTGTATATAGCATAAGTCAATATAATAAGTACAATATTTTGTAATAAATAAAAAAGATTTTTCTAATGAAACCACGAAATCTGCATCATGCTCTTTATTAAGCGTCTTTTATACATGATAGGTATACATATAATAATTATATATTTCTACATATAGATTTTAATAATAGTAATAGATAATCTTATAACATAATAATAATAATAATTCCAAAAGATTCAGGAGCCTACACTTCGATAAAACTACATTCCATACACCGGATATCACAAACAAGCTATCATAATCAGTATAGGTATATATAGGTTACATTCGGATAAAATTTTGAATGAACTTTATCAAATCAACATTTTGGTACTTAATAAGCTCTATACTACATTAAGCGTAACAGGTGGATCATTTTACCCGATGACATGGTCGAGGCCACTACGGTTTTATAAATGGATATCTATTGATTGGTCACAAGTGTCCCGTTGCCATGGTCACCATACAACCCAGCGATTACTTTACGTCGAACATTAACACAAGTGGTGCACGGTCGATGTCGGCATCGGTTAGCGAACGAACGACGTGAGCAAGCGAATGACGTCGGTGAATGAGTGAACGGAACGACACACGCAAGATCGGTACGCCGTACGCAAGGATTAGGCGCGCTTGTGTGCATTTACCGTGCCAAAGGCGCCCTCCGCCAGTTTGGAGATCATTCGCAGCCGGTGGCGGGGGAACTCGATCACGTTGGTGGTCTCCAGGCGGCGCTTCATGTCGATCAGCACCTCCTGTTGGCTCGGCGACTGTGAAACGTACGATGGAAGTTTGAACGAGCGGCTACTGAACGGTTGAACAAACGGACAATGGTACGAAGACGTTCCGTTGTAAATATAACATAGAAAATCCGCGGAGTATCCTCCCTTGTGAGTGATAAAAATGTTTGTTCTAAATAAATAGTATTTTAATTCATATTTTGTCTCCTTTCAGTTCAAATTTTCCCTTATTTTTCCTTTTGAATTCTTATGTTACTAACAAATAAATGACAATGTTTATAATATTTTAAAAATGGAAAAATAAGTACGAGTTATACTCAGTTCCTAATAAGCGTATTTGTTTTTCTTTCGGCAATCGAATTGTTTTACCTTTTATTATACAAGAACTCAAGCATCAATGCACGTAAATGTACGGGAAAGAGATGAAGAATCAAACTGGCTCTCCGGTTTACGTTAACGACATTGGGGCCAAGAAAACAAACTTCATCGCGTGCGTGTCACACACCCGCGTGCTATGCTTCGAGCGTATGGAGCTGGGAGCGGAGCGTCGAACGTCCATGCCGTGCTCGGAGTCATGTTCAGCGTCATGCTCGCCGAGCAGTTCGGTGGCCCGTCCAGATAAGCTGTCGGCCAATCGGCGCTTGATCAGCAGCGGCGCAGAGCTCAGCTCTGGCACAGCGTAATCGTAGTTCGAACTGTCTGTGGACAGAATACATCAAAATTGCATTGTCTGCGCGATACGCATCACTTTCCTAAAAGCGTCAATAAATAATTACATTACTCGCAACCTTTTATTAATTTATAATGAATTGAAGTTTTTTTCTTTCCTGTCAAAACCCTATTCGAGTTTTCATTGTTGACCAAACAGTTACACAGAATAGAAAAGGCGTTTAAGGCGGTAGGCGAATTTATTAAACTATGTTCTTTAACAATTACGCCAAACTTCACTTACAGATTAACCGAGACTCGATACCGAGAAGTGTCTGCGAGACTTGCGATGGAGACAAATGGCGAACGCAAATTACCTGACAACGCCGCGTTGGAGTCCTTCGCGAAGTCCCTCATCTCGAGGAGCACCGTGCTGTAGCTGAAATAGGGGGCGCACTTGAGCGCCTGGTACGGCTCCTGGTACTCGTCAGACTTCACGTCGAGGCCGCAGTCGATCATGATCTTGTTGTCGGGCAGCATCGAGGTGCCGCACGGGTTGTACGCGTCGGCCACGGACCTCTTCTGCGAGATGGTCGACTTGGTCATCGGCGACGCGAAACACTTCCTGTGCCGGTGTCTGTGCACTATTAGGAAGACCGCGACCGCAAGCAGGATCACTAGAGCGGTCAGCACGCCCACCACAATCGCCATGTACAGTGGGTCCTCTTGGTGGGCGGTAGATATTGGCACCTCCTTGGCGGTGCTGGTCTTCGCCTTGTCCTTGGCGCCCGAAGGCTTCTGGCTCTCGGGCGTGTAATTGCCCTGCGCCACGTCTGCGGACAAAGCGGTTTGCGGTGACACACGGTGACCACGAGCGTTTCCCACATTAGCCACTGTCACGTCGTTCAATTCAGTGGCGTGCACGAATATTTCAAACAGGGTATGCAATAAAAAGAATGGCCAATTTCTCTTATTAATTGATTATAACATAACATTTCACTTAAATAATATCCAAAGAGGCCTCATGTTTTTAGGGACGTTAGGGTATGAAAAGCCTTTTCGCATGTACGGAGTGCACACGGATGGTTCATATCGCCTGACAGAGCCGGTCAGCGAAGCAACGGTGACGCAAGATTGAACGTAAACGCATCCAATTTTCTAGTATAAAGAATACTCCCCCAACAAAGGACGTGGCGCAATACTGCAGAGGTCCTTAGACGTGAACAAACTCACCGGAGTCGAACACCACCTCGCTGATGAGTATCCAGCTCGCCGCGAACCGCAGCTCGATGCGGACCCACTTTCCGATGCGGTGGTGCAACTTTATGCTGACGTTGCGCGAGCTCTCGAATATGCTGTCCTCCACGTAAGTGTAGCGGATGGGCTCGTCTTGGAAGTGGCGACCCCCGATGGAGAACGTGATAATCGCCTCGGAGAAGACCTGGAAGCGACACTCGACGTTTCACTGCGTGCACCGAGGGGCAACGAGATGTGCAAGATGTTATTGGAAACAGATTGCGTGTTGCGAGGTTACAGTTTTGATAGACGGTTATGAGATATTGGCAAAAGTATTGAACTTAAAAGGACTTCAAACACATCATGTCACTTTACGACACATTATTTAAGCACTTAGTAATTTGGTAGTAATCGAATGTTTGTAGTCTGATGATAAGAAAACTGAAGTCGGCCCACAAAAGACATGTATGTGTTAAGGGCAGCTATTAACCCTGATGTCGCCGAAATACTTCTCGGTCGACTCCGCAAAGAAATTACAAGACATGTAAGAGTGCGTAAAGTGACGATTCGTGTAAAACACGCACCTGTACGTCGCGCATGAAGCGATTATTGCAATACAGGTGCACCGTGCTGAACTCGCGCACTTTGTCGAACTCGAAGGTGATGACCGGCGGGTTGGGCCTAGCCTCCTTGCGCCAGCCGACCCAAGCGGAGTTGCGGGCCGCCTCCCTTATCTCGTCACCGCCATATTGCCCGTCGACCAATTGGCCCAGACCGCCCCTCAGTTCCTCTCCCCACTGACCGTCGTATATCATGTCTGTCAACTCGATACCGTTCGAACGCTTATCCCCCTTCGGCATGTTGTACGCGACTATACCCACTGTTAACGAAAATCAGATATCAATAAAGAATAATCCACGAATAACAACCAACCCCAGTTTTACATATTAGTCTATCAACATACACGAGGCACAAATGTGTGGCAACGATTTTTGCACGCTTAAATTACCTAAGATCGAAATCTCATTTGTGCCTCGACATTGATCCGAACGGTACCTACTTGATAACAGATTTTAATTTGACTTAATTTTATTAGTCGTAATATTTAAAAGAAAAATCGACAAATAATATTTATAAAGAAATTTACGATATCTTTTGTGATGGGTAATAATAACCTAGGTGGCTCAAGTGGCCGAGATCTCGAATTCAATTTTGCATAATCAAGCCCTATTTCCAACACTAATGAGGTTATAAGTTTAAGTGCTCGTTGACCACAAACCCGGGGAAGCATTGAAATATCTTGAGAAAAACTTGAGTACAAGAAATTTAAAAACTAAAATCAAGTTTGCAATCAAAAAATCCCATCACCCGCTATTCTACGGCCTTATTGCGTTAGTTAATATCACAATGTTAGTATGTCCTACTACTCACTGGGGAAACTTAAACAACAAAACTACAAATGAGACATTATTCGTTGACATATTAATGTTACCCGTCGAGATTTAATTTACGAACACTTGTGTTACATACAACCCCTCCCGAGTGCTAATTATAATGCCATTTGCAACCATCTTGGAGAATGTTAGGTCTTAGGATAAAATATATCGGATTGGAATTAATCGAGAGAAGGGACAGACACTTTCTATTAGAACTTTATAAGACGGCATCATAAATTAAGCTGGAGTTATTAAATATGAACGAAATTAACGGCGCGACACGACAATTATTTTAAACTGTCGAGCTGGTGAATACTTAAACTACTATTACTATTTTAATAACGGTTCTATTATAATTACGTCAGGCTACTTTAATTAATAATAGAGCCGTCTACAGATCCCTCCTTCAACTAAATAATTAAAATGTTATATTTGAACGTAGAAACGTTCAATCAATTGAAATTGATTGATCTTTTTCATAAAATGTATCAATATACCTTTTAAGAAAAACATTGTATTGTCAACTTTTAGTTCCTTATGGACTCCTACCAGTTATTTTATGTACATAAATTAACAAATAAACTGTGTTCTTCTCGTAGTTAACGCTGCCCTTACTGAAGAATAAAGTTATATCCTGTGTAGTAAGAAAGTTTAACATTTACGTATAAATTTCACGTTGACAAATACCCCGATTTGAAACAATTATCTGTGAGTCACACAAACAGTTGTCACGTTGGGTGGGAATCGAGCCCACGACCTCCGGTGCAGAAGACAGCACCTTGGCAAGTGCGCCACGAAGTCGTCATATAACCTTTCTGCACTAAAATTTATAATTTTATTTTACTATGTTGATCATAACGATGTCACATCCGTCGCTGTTTTTTAAGCAAGGGCGGAGGAAATAAATGCTAATGCCAAACCCATTTTCAATTGCCGCCGTGACCATGTAGAATTAAAAACACCACGATCCACGACAATATGTACGCGCAATTTTACGGGTATCGTGCTCGAACTCGATAAAGACTATTCTTACTCATATTTTAATACTGGTATACACAGGGTTGTTCAAACGATCGAACAAATAATTACACTCCGATTTCCATTGCCAGCAGCAATTATTAAGAATACAAACAAGACCAAACAATAACGCAACAATAGAATACGCGGGATTTATTTATTGTCAGTTTAAACTGAAAATGTTTGGAATACTGTCCCAAAACCGCGCGGAAAACTAACCAAATGTCTCTTATAGCAAGCAAACCTATTATCAAGAAATTATCTAATTAAAATCAAAAGCCTAAATACGGACAGATTATTTAGGTTCACACCGCGGAAATCACGTTACTAAGGCCATTTAATGAAGCAAACTATTTGAATGCTCATTAGGCTTTTATTGCGATGCGACTATAGGAAAAGCAAGCACATCTTTAACAATCGCGTTTTTTTTCTGACGTGCTATTGCAAGCGGCGCCAAGTCCAAAAATTATCCAATCGAAGACGGATCACATTGTTTTCCATCTTAAATTGCTTATAAATTAAGATATTACTTATCAGTTTATCAGTATTTCGGATTCTTCCACATTAAACATCACTCGTGATATTAAAATGTCAATTTCCTTTTTTGTCGTTATCTTCAAGAGTTTAAATGCTTTTCCCATAATATCTTGTATAATTGATGATGAAAAGCAGTGAAAAGATATGATATAAAGACTGTCCACACGTTCCCCTATTTCGTTCATAAAGTCGGACAACCCTAAATGAAAGCTTCCACGCCGCATAATTTTATATGGCGCAAGACAAATACAATGCGTTTTTTTTTTATTTGTATTCTAGGCGCGTTATTACAATGGTGCCGACACCTGGCCGGTGCTTTTACAAATACACACATGCGCCTGTGTAGGCGACGCTGCGCGCCTGTGTGTGTCGCAATTGTTCCTTTATCCGAAGATGCATTATCGGCAGCCATAGATAGCTACTGGATTCTAATGGATTGCCTCGTTTCAATCTGCAGCGAATCTTATACGCCCGGATGCATGGCCGTAGACTGTATGTAATGTACGATGACAAAATTATGTTTAATCATGTATTAAATTATGACAGTTTATCTGACAAGTCTTTTCTATGAAACAAAGCGGAGAAACTATATGACGCAATTAAAAAGCAAGTGAAAGAAATATTTGCAAGAAATAGTTGCATTGTCAGTACGTCGCCATATAATTAATTATATTGTGCCTAACGAATTATTACAAAAAATACGACAAGAATAATGTAAATATATCAATGTAATTTAAAAACGCTCATTAGAATGATTGAAGTTATTACTCAGAAAGCGAGGACTCGCAGACCGTTTCGAGGCGTTGTTCACATAAAACAAAACACTGGGAAAAATGTTCGTGTCGAGTTTTTGAATGTTTAATGGACAATGCAAGTTAAAGAAAAATAACACCATCGATTCTTTAGTCGACAAGCGACAGTTTATTTTAAAAAAGTATTTCATGGAATATTTCAGCACGTCGTCTATAAATTTGAGATTTCGAGCACTATTGTTCGTTTTTGCCCAATTGCTATAAAATATTAATACATTTAAAATGTTAATTACTGAGTAGTGGGAGTCACGTTTTATGTCGATATAACTTGACTATTAACATAATACAAGTGACGGGCCAAAGATGTTTCGACATCTATGTAAATAGCAATGTATTTATATTTGATTCAACTTTCAATCGTTCGACAGTAGGAAAATTTTACCGTAAAAGGCGTTATCAAACATGGTTTCTTCTTACGCCCATACTTAGTTATTTTAACATGTATTATTAACAGCTTGCTCACTAAACACTTGCCTACGTCAAGACTTGCAAGTATTTGTAATTTATTTCATTGAAATTTACAATAAGTTATTTGCCTGTAATTAGTATATGTCAATACATGTCAAATACACAGGTATATATGCAAGTATTGAACTGCAGACCACGTAGATTAACGTTGTTACGCTATTCGCAAGAATAACCAAACGGACGACTAAAAGTGCCACGGCTTAATTATTGACGTTATTTGGTCACGTTATGTCTTAGAACCGAGTGTTGCTGCATAATGTTTCATATTTCAGTGTAAAGTCGATGGAAAAAATCAACAAGCGACTCTGGGAACGTAGACGTATGATTAAAAATGGGGCAATTTGCCGCCTTTTACGTTAATAACAATGCCTCGCATGCCGCAACTGCCAACGATAACTTTCTTGGAATTACCCGCAAATTAGCATTAAAAACCACCATAATGCTGTACCGAAATGCTAAAATAAATTGCGTTATCCTACCATACGGATATACCATACGCATTCATAGACGGCAACAAGGGAACTTGTAGTGACTATAAATCGAATTATTTAAATATCATATCGTAACAACAAAGATTTGAAAAATTTCTGAAAACTTTTTTGAGCTTATAAAATACATATAGACGTCTCACCCACATATATTCGTATAGTATAGGTACTCATCGGCACATTATAATAATTGTAAAGTTGTCCGACGTGCATGTACCTTTCCTAATTATCAATAATACCTTCTATTTATACACCCTCAGATTAGAAATGAGTATAGACCGGTAATAATCAGATATGTATATAAAAAAACAAGGAAACCCATACACCTATATATAATCCGTTCTGCGACGCGAGTATAAAAGAACATTTGAGTGTAAATGATGGTGACGGGGTAAATGTGTTATATGTATGTCCAGTATAATACAAGTGAATATACCCTAATAATGTCCTTACATAAGCACTACTTTCGCTTAAATATACCAATTTATCTGATCAATTAATTCAACGGTCCCAACATACAACTAGCGGCGTCGTTTAAGGCTACGGTACGTTAGATCCACGTTCGAACTCAAAGTTCAACTGCGCAGTGTGTTCCGCCACCGCTGATAGTCTGAAAGCAGCATCTCGAAAGTTCCACGGCCCGTACTAATTGCGAGCCGCGGCGAACGAACTCGGCGTGCGGGTGCCGCGTGTCGTAAAAGCGACGGAGCACGCAGAATACCGCCTAAGTTGGGCCCGAGCCGCGATCCGGCGACGGTTTAAATTGAAAAATATCCGACGTTCCACCGTTGCGTCGACTCCGGCTAATGTTTCGCGGAATGTTCGCGAAATGCCTTTGCAACTCCCACTCGTCGTCATATAAATGCCCGCAAATTACGGCGGTTTAAGATCGTCACACGGCACGTCAGATTTATTTGGGCTTGAGGGCTCCTTTTGAATTCATCCGTTTTCTTCAGGTTTAGTTAATACACATGACCTCATTGATTAAACTATAACAATGGGACCGTTATAGGTTTTTTCATTTACGTAACTATTTGCTGTTAATTCAAGGATGGCGTTATTTTCTGTTTACATTATGGACATTTTTAAGTTAAGCCTCAACTTATCGCCATAAGGTACAAATATAGATAATAACTGAAAACACTCAACATTATGATAAAAATTTAAATATACTGCAAACCATCATTGCAAACATGATCCACGTAAGAAACAGTTCTAAGTTACTTTAATTGTTATAACAATTGTTTTCTTTAAAAATTAATTAAAAATCAGCCATACATCTGGAGGCTTGTGCCTTATAAATGCTACACACATGCCAAGATAAACAGAGAGAATTATTTATAAATACCTAAGTACTAATTTAATCAAAAAAGTAACATATTTAGAATTAAGTAACTAGTTATTTAGTCAATCTTTGACTGTTCGGCAAAGTAATTAACTGTTGTTTTATCTCTTTCGATGACCAGTTCAAGTATCTTCAAGACTTAACCGTTTCGTAGTGGCCGCCTTCAAGGTTGTATTTAAAAACAACATGTATATCTCATCACAAGTAAATGCTATCGTAAACCATGGAAGTAAGCGATATGTGAAATGTGTGAGAGGTGACGGCATTATTCCCTTTTCCAACAAATGGTACTTGGTAGAAAATCTGTTTGTATACAAGTTATCGGAGGCCATTAAGTGGTGATGTTCGCTTTATCCACACTAAATTGTTTTCAGATTCTACAGTCAATGTATAAAAGAACACTTACCACTCCAGTAGCAGCCGTAAAGTTCCACCCTCATACAAACTGTGCGCCGATGGGAGCTGTAGGGGATGAAGCGGATCTTCGAAGCCCAGATTGGTGGCTCCAAATGGATTTTCTTCTCGAGATAGGTATTGGTGTTTCCCGAAAGAATCTGTAACCAGATCTCTCGCTAAAACGCCGGTTTGTGACAAAACGTTGTCGATGCGATCATCGTCAAACGATTCCGGTGCTGTTTCGAAATAATAACCAACTCATTCCTGTGAGTGACAGGAAAGTTTTTATTTGCAATCGTGCAACGTGCCCGCCGCATAAGTTCCAAGCAAGTTCCATGGCTTCGCGACGCCTGTTACGTAAAGTTGAAACTTTTTGCATAAAGCTTATAGCCGAGTGAAGTTTGCCGGATACAACAAACAAACAAACCCCTGCCTGTATTTTATTTGTATTTGCGCAACATAGTTCGAGTTGTGAGAATTTATTCTGCTTCCACGAGCGTAATTAAATAGTGCAGACGGAATTTTACGTAGTTGTTAACGCTAGGCGCTGTGAAGTAAACTTTGTGCCGATTCTTTTGACGAAGTTACCTCGTGACCTCTCTTAACTTACTCTTTTTCTAAGCTACTGTTTCATAATTAACAATAAATAATTGTAATATTTTTTTATATAGCCGATGAAAATACCTCTTGGCCGTCGGCGGCCCTGTAGCGCACCCATTTTCCGAGCTTGGGGCGCCAGTACTCCAGGACGTATGCCTCAGCGTACTCCTGGCCCTGGCCGTTCCCGAACCGGCCCTGGGTCCCGGCGCCGGTTATCACGTGGACCGTGTGCAGGTTCACTTCCAGCCACTCTGTGGACTCCGTCGTTATCTGGGACTTCGGACACCACGCGCCGCCTCTTATCTCCTGGTTTAACCTAAGTAAGGGAACAAACTCAAAGTTTTAAAATTTCACCGGGAATGCATACAACAAACAAGATTAATCTCTCTTATTTATATGTAAAAATTTAGCTTCCGTATGTTTGTCTCCACAAAACTCAAAAGCTAGCAGACTGACTTATTTAACATTTGTGCAACATGGCTATTGTGAACAGGAGAGTGTTGTCATATACTTTTTATTTCGGAGATGAAAGGGAAACGGAGAAAAATTGAAGCGTGGCACAAACAAGATATAATTTTTTGGCGTTTGAGTTTTAATGAAAAATTGAAATTATGATAATAAATTTCAATATGTATGTAGTACACTTCGCGATGCGTAAGGTATTTTAATTCAAAATAGTAGGTATGTATTTAAAGTAATATCTATCTTAAAAATATGTACCTACATAAGTTAAAAGAATTATCATTTTAGAGTGAGCCATTACTTAAAAACCACACTTGGACTTGATTAAATCGATTGAAAAACATACGAGTTTAAAGACATAAAACGATTAGCGTGCGCTTGTCAGAGTAGATGCTATCATTATAATGGCATTAACTCGAAACCACTGTCCAGATATTAGGTCGAGCGAACGTCATTTTACTGCGTTTTATCATAGACACATGACACCAGTGTCACCCTTTCGAGACGAGACGAAGCAGAGTTTAATAACTCCAAGGATAACACGCTTAGCGAAATTAAACAACGCAAATGCATAAAGTTGTTAATAGGTAAAAGGGTAATTAATTATAAGAAACATTAAATATCTATAATATTCGTTAAAGTCGATTAAAATTCATTTCACAAAATACCAATTAATCAATTTTACATTGTTTTGTAAGGGAAAATAAATATATGTACGTTATTAAATCGGTCGAATTGCTCAATTGACTGACGATGGTGACGTAATCAAAGTGCCAATGATCGACGGAGCTATTCCCAATCTCAGTTAATAATAATACTTTTGACTGTTTTTTATTAGTGCATTCACTTATGTGTCACTCGGTGCTTGCGGGGCGTCGACCAATCGGATCCGTGGACGCCGGGCCATTAGGGCTTATTGGCGCGAGACTGGGCCACAGGAGCCATCAGCGATGCGTTACGGAGCCGCTCTTGTAATTGATATGATAACGTGTACTATGGACGAGTGTTCGGCCACCAGCTTGACGGGAAAAATCGATACGACAACGGCAACACCTTGGGCCGTGCGACACTCGCGTGCACGCCGCTAGCGAGGCACGCAACACGGGAACAGTGTGACGATTACGTTTATGGAAATTCAAATTTACACAAACAAAAAGCGACCGTTAATGTTACTAATAAAGGTGTTTTCTTTCATTCCATGTTTGGGCACGCAATGCGAAATGAAAACGGGCATGATTAAAATACAATTAATGAAAACGCCCGCCGCGAACCCGGAATTCGCCGTCAGTGGAAATTATTTACATGCGACTGATTCAATCACCAGATGGCAGCGGCGTATTAAAATGTACAACTTTTCAGTGGAACACAGAAATCGGCGAATCGAGAACTCTTTGTGTTAAATTTATCGCCTGTTTGATTGACTACACAAAAGGAATGGTGCCGCTTTGTGCAAGCATATATTATTCCTTTAAGTGTCTACTAGACAGAAACACTTGAAGTTGATAGCAGACACTACATCTTTATTCACAATTACTTTTATTTAACACGTATCGCATGATTTATAAACTGCTGTCTTTCGTGCAATGAAAAAAAAATACCATACATATATATTGATTATTCAATAAATCGACATTTCAGTTTAAACACCTAAGTATAATTAGAGATAATTACGACAAATAAAATTTTAGAAGATGTAGATGAAAAACTCACATCAAAGTATTAAAAGATCGGAAACTAAACGAAGTACTAACATTTTTTTTATAAATCAACGGTTTTATTTAAAATATGCTCAAATTAACAAACGTATTGTCGTGTGAATTATCTCGAAAAAATTGCAGATTTTACTGACCCTTTAACAGGTCACCGTCAAGATCACGTATCCAATTGTGGCTGTGGATTAGCGAAGATGGATAAAATTGAAAATAATTTCAAATTGGAATTTGAAATTATTTTCAAACTGTTTAACTGTTCAAATTCGAAATAAATTTTTAAACAAATATTTAGCATAATATACGATATTTAAAAAGTTTATTTTTTCTATACCTTTAAAAGAAAATGAAAATACATAATATGATGTAAATGTAATTGACTAACAACGTAATTGAATAACAAATAATTAATACATTAAAACTCTGTTTATTTAATTTAAGTTATAATTTAGTTATACCTCATTTTAGGGAACGTAGGCAAGGTACCTACTTAACGTTAGGCTTAAAAATAAAAGCTTTTGAGATATTATTGTGCCTTTGCGGTATTCATTGTTGACATAAAATGATGTGGGCGAAATATTTCACGTGAACTCTCAAACGCACGGGAAGCGCTCCAGAGAGCAGAATGTCAAGAATTTCAGGGGGGTGTAGTAGCATTAGAAAGGCCGTATATTCAAAGCTAATGTTTATGTTCTTTATCTTACATAAATTATGTACACATTTCTTTACCTTTTGGAAGGGCTATATATATATATAGCGCAACACATAATCAACAATTTCCCGATTGAATGTTCTCGAATCAATTATTCTCAAACGCTTCCGTGTAGCCGAAATCATTCGATTCAGTTTATGCCTTCACACGGGTCTATTAAGGACCATTAGAATATTCTGCTCCACTTAAATATATCACGATCATAAACAGTTTAACACCAACACACTTTCAAATAAATAAATCTAAACGCCTGTGATATCATTTGGGATTCAAATGATAAAACTTTTAATTAAGGAAATGTAAATGACTATATATCAAAGTGCTATCGCTGAATTGAAGAAGACTGATGATTGTGTTAAACAGAAGGAGGTTCGTGCGATATCGGCAAGGCCCATTAAACGGAACCAATTTCGCCGAGTCGTGAGAGCGTGTCTCAACCGCGGGTGGTCGTTAATGCTGACGAGCACTGCCTCGCCCATATGGCGGAATCGAGTGAGCTGTTAATTGCGCTTCAATGTAAACAAACTGCGAAGGATGCACTTTTGGAGACCTAGTGTGCTGGACTTGGGGCTCGGTAAGTGCACTGAAACGTGTATAAATTCCACCGCTGGACTAAAACCAACACATCCCCAGAGAGGGTGTCAGTGTATAGTCAGTCACGCGGCCCCAATGCGCTTCGCATGCTTCAAAATATTTACCACGGCTCATGAGTGAATGGCGACTAATGAGTTTCCAACGACGTTGTGATAGAGGAAAGGATCGCATTTCTCGAGACGATGCGCCAAGCGATTTTAATGCTACTTGCCGTACTTCCATTTTTTTAAAGCGTATATAGCTCGAGCGAAAATGAGGAAAAAAATTATCGTTTATCTTTATTATTTATCGTTTTGTTGTAATCAATACCTCTACCGTATTGTAGATTTTTGTTAGTAGGTATTTGTGCCAATGCTTAGCTAAATAAAGTTCACTTTTGAAAATAATTCAATTGAGTTAGAAATACTTAACAATAAAACAAAACGTCTATGCCCAGCTTCCGAAAGGCCAATCAAAGCAGCAATCACATAACACTATGTCAAAAATGATCAGCTGTTATTCTCTTGTTAAACTGCCTTGGGTTTCTGGAAGGTTTGTTCAAGAAAAATTAGCTAATCACTGTATAACCAACGATAATGAATGAAAAGAATGATTTACTTCAACTAACTCTTTCTATTGTATAGCTGTCCCTTTTTATATTAACGTCACTATCCAGTCCTGTCACCGTGTGATTGCCAACGTAAAAATTCGAGCTAAAATAGAATTTAATTTATATAAATACATGCAAAACGTCAAAAAGAACTTTTCAGAACGTGAAAAAAATAAAATTTTATCCATAATAAATACGTAATTATTATAAAAAGAAAGAATCCATATTATTTATTAACTTTTGAATTGCATCTTGTATTTTTTCTAATAATATGATATGTTCGCATAATAATAAATAGATAATAGAACACATGAATGTCCTAACAACGTATTAGGGAATTATGTTTATTTTTAATAAAAACTAAGATTTTTGATAAATAACATTTTTAACCAACGATTGATCGTCTAAATTGACAGATTACTTAATAAAACTTTTGACAGCTCGTTGACCACCGAAAAACGCTTTCAGAAACTCGATTTTCTGTTGATTGTCCGTTAATCAGTGACTAATTGCAAATCAAAATCAATGTTGTTTAAGACGTTCTAGCAACTCAGATCATGTTAAACAACGATTGACAAGAGATTTATCGTAAATTAAAATTGATTGCGCTTTCGGAAACTGGGTGCTAATCTGTCAAGCAGATGATCTTCTGCGTTGGCTAAAGGACTATGCTAACCCACATGAAATAAAACACCGTGAAACAGGGGTCCAACTAACATGCTCTAAACACATAAAGCACGTAACTATTGTTTAGATTTAATGTTGTTCAAGAAATTGTACGATCTCCGCGAATGAAGCGCCACATTAGGAGCCTTATCGCCGTAACGCGACAAACGACCGACGACCAATTCAGCAAATGGGAATGCAGCTAAAACGTTACTAAAAAAGTTATGCCGCAAGGTTAAGGCGCGATAAAACACCGTACGGGAGACGACGACTGCGCACACAAACATAAAATTAATTTCAACCCCATGCATATATGTATACGCCGACGATACCTATTCGTTATTATAGCTTTCAACGGTCGATCATAATCAGGCTCGTGTCGAATTCGGAAATTTAATTAATACCTCCGAACGGTATTACTGTGCGTGGCAACCCCACTATGCTCTCGTTTTAACAACGCCAGAATGCCCGTCATAACTACGCACGATGCATTTCTGTAATTAATCGACGGAACTGAAACAGTGGATCGCCAAATTAGAATGTAATAGCAACTGGCACAAGTTTACCATTGGCAAATTGAGAGGCATTAATGTTTTGTGTTATTCAAAATCTTTGTGTTCATCAATCAATCATGGCTACATTAAGCTGAGCATACACAAGCAGAACTTAATGAGAATACTAAATGAAGTAGAAAAGTGCATTTAAAAACAATTTATGCACCGGTCGAGAACATAGGCGAAACTTTCAATAGAAAATTTATCAGAGTACATCGTTAGGGCAGTTCGCTGAAGTTGTTTGGAAGCCGTGAAACAGTTCATCGTCGATAGATAATCGGCTTTTCGGAAACGGAAAGTCTGAGGCTACTTTGAAGATGCTATGAGTTCGGGACGTCCGTAACGAGCTTAATCCGGCGTTGCATTCAAAACTTTGTTAAGCTTCCTACACAGGTAAGGGTATTTGAATAGTGTCGTATATTCGGACAGAGAAGGAGCTAGCGTAGACGGACCTCATCAGTATAATGCATTCAGCTATATATTAGCTATATATTACTTGCTTTCATGTTTGTACTTCAGTTAGAGATCCTTATCATTTGAAGTCTAGACGTTGTGTTAGTTTGTATAATGGATACCTACATTTCTACAAAGTATTCGGCGTCCATACTTGCTTTAGAAATTATTAATTATGAATTATTAGGTGCAATAAATATTCAAAGTTCCAAAAAGAAGCTCTTTGGTACGGGAAAATATCCCTCTATTTTCTACGTACGTAGTTTCATGTAATGATCCATTTTTATTTCTATTTTTAATACATAGCAAACTGTTTAGTGCTTAACCTACCCCACCTGATAGAAGGCGGTGATGTAACATAAAAGTATATAAAATGGGATTAATAAAAATGACGACGTATCAGTGTCTCCACTAGCGTACTACTGTTAGATATTATTTTTTGTTATGCATTACATGTTCTCGGCAAGCACTTCCGAGTGTGGGCCGCACTCTCTTTTGTTGATAAGGGCACGGTTTGTAATCTTTGTTTGCTCCTAATGTTTGAACTGCGATTAAGTACCGCTGTAGTAACAGTCATCCGGGATGACGCGTCCCTTCATCTCGTAACGAGGCAGATCATCGCATCACTAAATTTTAAATCGCAAAAGCATTTTAAGCGTGAGGAAAGTAGCACAACTTCATAAGTAACGGGAAGACTCGTCGAAACAGATTAAATAAAATGCCGTCGATGATGGAAAAGCTCTGGCAAAGTAGAATTTTTTTTATCTTGTTAACGTCGCTGCAATGTCGCATTTTTTTTAAGCCCAGACACTGATTGCATCTGCGACTACATCGGTACGAACCAATCCGTTTGCATAGCGGCTTAAATTTAATTCTCGATAATATTCTTAAACAAGAAATTTCCTTAGGGCTGCTACGGTCGCCTATACTAGAAAATCACGTTCGCGTAATCCCTCATAATTATTACTTGGAAATTTCTTGAATTTTAGAGAAATACACACAAGAAACGATATTCTTTGAATTGCGAAAACGACACAAAGAATTAAAGGAAAACGTAATAATTTTTATGAAAAACATTCTATTGAATTTCTTTCGAAGCGACCTGTTTTTCTTAACAGAAATTATCACGCTTTCAAAGCTACAAAAACGAAGAAACAAATTCGCGACAGCCCTATTGTATAGTCTAGGTTAGTAATTTCATAGTGAATGCTTTACCGTCCATTCTGTGGTCCCACGTTGCCGTCGTTGAATGAAGAACTGGCGGTGAGGTCCTTGTCGGGAATTAATCCATTTTCCATCCCGAGGGGGGCGATACATTGAGCTGGAAGCAATAGCGACTGATATTAACAAGGGAGTAACTACTTGCTCAAGATAGTTCTACATTGATTTCTGGAAGATATCCGAATGCCGGTATGCGAATTTTCAATTAATACTCCGAGCTCAATTCAAACACATCGAGTAGAGTAAATATAACGTAGCGTGAAGCTTCAATGATTCAATTATTGGCCTCTTTGTAACCGTAATGAATATTAATGTTTTTTGTTTGAATCAATAAAACTATAAGACTATCTGTTCAGATAGTTTAATAGTATAATAATTATTATAAAAGAAGTCCATTATTGGACTTTCACTAGATGCAAAAATTATTTATGAATTATTTATGCTTATATTATTCATTTTACTTTTTACATCGCTGCATTCAAGGTACTTGTTACCTTTATTCTTTTTCCTTTATATAATTTTATATTATATACAGCGTTTTGGATTTCGTTTCTTACAAGGATATTCAGCTTATTACAAGAACTAAATATTTAAAAGAACGGCTATCGACGTTTCACCCCTTTATGCCTTTAGTTCTCGATTTAGGCAGGGGAAAAAACCAATAACAATTTTACATATATCTACATTCTTTATTGCAATTTTAGCAATGCTTAGCGCCATTTAGTGTAAGATTTAACAGTCTTATAAAGTGTAACATTTGCTGTATAAATGGAAATAATCCATTCACCTTGAAAATAGAATGAATACGGTTCCTTCTTAACACAATCCACATACCAATAAAATAGAACCTCAATAACAAATAAGCTATGTCAGAAAAATGACTGAACAAAAATTGGTTTCGAGCATCAAAAATCAAATTACGGGTGCCGATTTCCGAACAAAAGCTACGTAGGCAGATCCAATTTGATCACGAACCCGATTAAAGAATAATCTCGAAACATTCGTACAATACTTCTGTTTAAAATTGATTTGAACGCGCACATTTATAAGCGAGTACGAAATATTCCAAGCGGTTGGACATTATAATGATACCGATAATAATTACATTCGACACGAATACATTATTGAACGATACATAATAGTGGATCCACTCAGCTCGATGAGCATTGAAAAATCATTATAATTATATAAAATTACATTATATTTGTATCATAACAAATCTTGTTAAAGGTTGTGTCACACATAGTACCGATCTGAAAATACATTGAATATAAGCTTAAATATACTTGGTTATAAATAAATATCTATGAACTAGCTTCTGGCAAAGTCTTGCCACATTCCAAAAGCCGTGCGTCTATTTTATGTATAGGGAGAGCTATCGTCCTACTAAATATTTAATAACTCTCGATGACTTAGTTAAGCGACGGCAAAGCAATGAATAGATAGAACTATGCGTCTGTAGTATAGATTTCCATTCCTATAAAGTATTTAATGCTGCAAAAATTGTCTATACCACGTGGGCCATTAGGTCTATATTTCAACGTCTCAACAAGTTAATAAAGTTCAGCAATAGTCGCCCGAAGCGGTTAAGTGGCAGGCTGAGAAATCTACTTTATTCTTAAGTTTGTTTACATTGAAAAGCTGCCCGCCTGGCGAAATTTGCGTTGAGAACTTAAGATAATAGAATCTATAAAAAGTACTGGATTGGAAGCAACGAAGAGTTGCAGCACCAAAAAATAAGCTTATATTCCAATCGATTATTACTGCACCAGGCATCAATGTAAAATAATATAAATAAAAATTGGAATCTGAGAATGCTAAACTGGCCAGCGGATTTTGATTTTCTTTTATTTCAGAACACGAATGACAAATCTTTGCAGACATTTCCAACCTTAGCTGCGACAGTTGGAGGAAGTTTATTCAAAGCGGATGGGAACGGGAATACCTGCAGAAAGTAATTTAACATATACTGGACGAGACTACCTAGGCGGCAAAGTATGTAAAACTTTGAGGGTGGTTGAAATAAGAGTAATACGCCTGAATCACAGAAAACTTAGGTTCTGATTCGCAATATCCCAGCCTCCCTGCACGGGGCAAATATGAGTTCGCCGAGCTTTGTAAATATTTCAACACAAATACAGAATAAAAAGCGTCTACAGCGTCCATCTCTCACTCGCGAATATGTTTTTGAAATCGTAAATTATTAAATATTTAAGTGGATTATATAATAGTATTGTATTTGTATGTTGTATATAAGTGGTACGGTTAAAAATTTTTCGCATACACAAAAACTCAATAAGACTCCATTGCCGTTATAATTAATCACAGTTTTTAAACTTTTTAATGGTCCCGTGATACCGGTGATAAGAAAAACATATTATACGTGTTTTAAAAGGTTGATTTGAATAAACGAATATCATAAAGATTTAATGTAAATACGAAATATCCTTGTTAAAACTGCGAAATAAATTGATACACAAAAGATAGTTTGATGGTGACTTATTAGATAATAACTTATATAATCTCCGCGCCTAATAACGCCTAATAACGTACCACTACGATAGTTATAGTAAATAATTGGAAAACCTGTATAATTAATACATTCGGGTCACACACTGTGAGTGATACTGAATCCCCAATACTTGTGTAGCTGCCGTCATAAGATAATATTCAAATTGAAATAATAGAACTGTCACTGGAAGTCTACGTGGCGAGGAACAGAAAAATAGAGGAATTAATTGCTCTACGAATTCGAGAGACTGTGTCTGACACTATTGTACTTTAATGCGACGAAATCAAGAGGAATTCAGCTCTTTCATAAAAAATTCTCAATTTGATTAAAATTCCTATCACCATAAAATTATAGATACAAATTAGAGATTATTTCTAAAATAAAATTATTTCTAAACCAGCAGTGTACCTACTATACTGATGCACTTGACTTGCACGTAAAGTAATATAAACTTAAAAAGCTATCGGTTAAATTATTTAGTCATCATAAACTATACAAAGCACTCATAACGTTCGAAATGATAAAACGTATTAAAACGGAATTATTCCGTTATGAAAATGTTGAACTTTTTACATCGCACATGCACTAGCGACCCGCCCCGGCTTCAAACGAATAGCAGGGATAATATACGGCTACTTTTATTTTCCGCTTCCTGAGATCCGATCCCTGAGTTTTGTTTGCGCCGCATGATTTTTAAGTCAATAATTGTCGTTATATTTCGACCAAATTATACAAAACCTAAACGAGTTACGCACCCAAACTTTCTCCAGAACCAGTCCGGTTGGTAAAAACTGTATGAAAATCAATGCTTTCAGAGTTTATCACGGGCGCAGTTGATTTTATACAAATGCAATTAACTTTAATATCCCACTATCCTATATATCCCTAACTATCCCATCGTTCCGATCATGTGTAAGATTTATCTCGTCATAATTATTATAATTCTTCTTCATCGCGTCTATCAATCGATGCCTCTCGTTGTTGGTAGGCAAAAGTAGTGGTGCTGGTGTCTACTAGATACCGTCAGAATTCCGTCTTCCGCCCTCAGGAGAGCGATTGTTAATAGGCAGGTTAAGTATGGCCTTGATCAAGAAGGACCAGCGATGTTGTGAACCTTGAGATCTTTAAATCCGTCAGAGGTATCTCAGAGGACTTGTGAAAAGAATTGCTTCGTCGGCACAACACCCACTATACGAGGGGCACACTGAAATGATCTGGAATAAGAAAAACCACATGCACGGTATAGCTAAATTGTATTTTATTGTTTTTCGAAGTATTGTCCGTTCAATTTAATGCACTTTTCCATTCGTGCAAACCAATAATTAAAACAGTAATTACAGCCTGAATTTGATGTTGATAAAATGGCTGATTTGTACGCTTCCATAGCTGCTTGGGGTCTTCAAACCGTCAGGAAATCGGGCTCAGGTCAGGACTGCACGGAGGATGGCTCATCAGCTCAAGGTTTTCTTGCTTCAAATAATCATTTGTCTTTTGAGCCGTATGGGAGCTAGCAGTATTGTGATGTAAGATGATGCGACGTTTAGGGTTATTTTTTCGGAGTTCGGCTATCGATTCTGGCAAACAAACCGTGATACACTACTCGGCGGTTACTGTTATGCGTTCCTGTAAGGAAGTTGAAGCAACATGCCCCTTTTCCGAGACAAACGTAGCGACCATTTTCTTGGACACGCTACGGGAGCGAACCACTTTCGTTGGTTTGACCTCGTCTTCGAAGACCCAAACTGACTGATGTTTTCTTTCAGGTTTGTATGACTAAATCCATGATTCGATTCTGAATTGCAGTCATTCCGATACCGAATCTGCTCGTATGTCACATGACGGTCATGTAATATAATAGTTGGCACAGCTGCGATGTTTTCAAGCGTGACCGCTGTTCTTGGTCGACCTGCAGAAGAAACAGTGCTGAGCGACACGACCGCGTCGGAACTCGGCATACCAGCGGTATATTGGCGTTTGACTCGGCGCTTCAACATCATAAATCGGAACAAATTCGCTTGAGACATTTATCTTGAGAACTTGAGATAAGCCACGACGAAAATTGTGATAAATTATGGCACGGAAGTATTGACCCGCGAGCTCTATTTCTGTTAACGACGCGACGTGTCAACTTTAAACCATCATAGTTTTTGTTTTTAAACATTTTTTTTAATTGTTTGAATGTCGTTAAGATTCTAAGAGGCCAGTATTCAAATTCTAAAAAAGGTTTTATTGTAACTGAATCCGAAACATTCTGTTCCCGATCATTTGAGTGTGCCCCTCGTCCACGGCACTTCAAAAATGTGACTTGAAATACAATAAGTTGTAGTTTTGATATCTGAGTATATTTCACAAGATAATTCCACGTGTAATGTAGACTACGTTGAGTTAACCACCGCACGGCAACGACACGAAATGTGTAATTTCATAATCACAAAACAACCATACACACACCAACAACCACTTGTAGTCACTACACATAACTTGTAGTGACTTGTAGTGACTACAAGTAAATTAGCACCATTCAAGACGAGAGTTGCTGACATGTGTAACTGTTTTAAAGTTAATTTAACTGGCTTATTAAATAGTTA